CCACACCCGTATGTCAAATATGTTGTGCCCTACAGGTGAGCTAAGAGACAAGGTGACTCACTCTATCCAACCCCGGGACTGGGTGTGGATCCAATCGTTGAAAAGGAAAGACTGGAAGCAGCCCTGCTGGAAAGGACCCTATCAGGTTCTATTGGTCACAGCTTTTGCCATTAGAATAGCCGAAAGAGCAACCTGGGTCCACGTTACCCACTGCAAAAAGGTAGGAACACATACAAACTCTGCTGATCACACACACACTATCCCAACCTTTTATCACTGTGTGTGTGCTCTTAGAAGTGTGAGTATGGGGTGGAACCTTGCAGGAAACCCACGGGAAAGAGGGGGTTGGCGGTTCTTGGGAATATGGGGGACCCTGAGCTGCATGATAGTCTTGACAATTTTCTTGATATATCAAGATCCACCACCTCCAGGCACCAATTCTATTAAGTCCCCACCATTGTTAAGAAATAAAAGAGAGGCAACTCAACATACTGACCATCAAGGAAGAGTGTCTCATAAAATAGGAGTTAGACCAGGGTAAGATTGTGGATTCAAATGAACCATTAGACAATTCCCTAATCGATGGGGTTCAGGTGGTCGACAAACTGCTTGTTATAGTAGGGCACTATACCTCTGTTCAGGACCCACTGCTGCCTGTTCTTTGGCTCAGGTGTTTAAACGTTCTAACTCCTGGGGAGTACCAGTGTTAATGGCACATGGATGTAAGTCAGTAGTTAATGTTACTGACCTGGGTTCAGAGGCACAGGAGAAACGTTTGAATCTCACAGCACCTGTAGCCGATGTGTGGTGGGCATGCACCAATAAAGGTTATATAAGACTGCCAAAAGGGTGGGTAGGTACCTGCGCCCCCATTCTACTAGTTCAACCAGTTAGGATTAGCCACCAGAAGCCAAGTAAAGGGTTAAACAGACATAAGAGGAGTTTATCTCTGAATGAGAATTGTCCTATCTTGATGGATGCGATTGGAATTCCTAGGGGAGTCCCTGATGAATATAAAGCTATGAATCAAGTAGGGGAAGGTTTTACAACGACATTATTTTGGTGGGTAGCGATCAATTATATCTATTATAATTAGCAACGATTCGTAAACCAGACTAGAGATACGGTGAACGGAATCTCAGATCAGTGATCCACCACCTCCCTCATGACCGGGCAAAATAGGTTGGCTCTCGATATGCTATTGGCAGAAAAAGGTGGGGTCGGCAGAATGGTGGGCAGCCATTGCTGCACTTTCATACCAAATAATACAGCCCCAGATGGGACGGTATCAAAAGCTATAGCTGGGTTAACAACTTTAAGTGAGGAATGGACTGAGAATTCTGGGGTTAATACCTCTGTGACCAGAGGGTTTGATGAAATCCTTGGATAATGGAAAACTATTGTAGCTACTGTCTTGGGAGCTGCTATAACCTGTACAGTGGGGAGAACAAGTATTTGATACACTGCCGATTTTGCAGGTTTTCCTACTTACAAAGCATGTAGAGGTCTGTAATTTTTATCATAGGTACACTTCAACGGTGAGAGACGGAATATAAAACAAAAATCCAGAAAATCACATTGTATGATTTTTAAGTAATTAATTTGCATTTTATTGCATGACATAAGTATTTGATCACCTACCAACCAGTAAGAATTCATGCTCTCACAGACCTGTTAGTTTTTCTTTAAGAAGCCCTCCTGTTCTCCACTCATTACCTGTATTAACTGCACCTGTTTGAACTCGTTACCTGTATAAAAGACACCTGTCCACACACTCAATCAAACAGACTCTAACCTCTCCACAATGGCCAAGACCAGAGAGCTGTGTAAGGACATCAGGGATAAAATTGTAGACCTGCACAAGGCTGGGATGGGCTACAGGACAATAGGCAAGCAGCTTGGTGAGAAGGCAACAACTGTTGGCGCAATTATTAGAAAATGGAAGAAGTTGAAGATGACGGTCAATCACCCTCGGTCTGGGGCTCCATGCAAGATCTCACCTCGTGGGGCATCAATGATCATGAGGAAGGTGAGGGATCAGCCCAGAACTACACGGCAGGACCTGGTCAATGACCTGAAGAGAGCTGGGACCACAGTCTCAATGAAAACCATTAGTAACACACTACGCCGTCATGGATTAAAATCCTGCAGTGCACGCAAGGTCCCCCTGCTCAAGCCAGCGCATGTCCAGGCCCATCTGAAGTTTGCCAATGACCATCTGGATGATCCAGAGGAGGAATGGGAGAAGGTCATGTGGTCTGATGAGACAAAAATAGAGCTTTTTGGTCTAAACTCCACTCGCCGTGTTTGGCGGAAGAAGAAGGATGAGTACAACCCCAAGAACACCATCCCAACCGTGAAGCATGGAGGTGGAAACATCATTCTTTGGGGATGCTTTTCTGCAAAGGGGACAGGACGACTGCACCGTATTGAGGGGAGGATGGATGGGGCCATGTATCGCGAGATCTTGGCCAACAACCTCCTTCCCTCAGTAAGAGCATTAAAGATGGGTCGTGGCTGGGTCTTCCAGCATGACAACGACCCGAAACACACAGCCAGGGCAACTAAGGAGTGGCTCCATAAGAAGCATCTCAAGGTCCTGGAGTGGCCTAGCCAGTCTCCAGACCTGAACCCAATAGAAAATCTTTGGCTGGAGCTGAATTCCATAATGCCCAGCGACAGCCCCGAAACCTGAAGGATCTGGAGAAGGTATGTATGGAGGAGTGGGCCAAAATCCCTGCTGCAGTGTGTGCAAACCTGGTCAAGACCTACAGGAAACGTATGATCTCTGTAATTGCAAACAAAGGTTTCTGTACCAAATATTAAGTTCTGCTTTTCTGATGTATCAAATACTTATGTCATGCAATAAAATGCAAATTAATTACTTAAAAATCATACAATGTGATTTTCTGGATTTTTGTTTTAGATTCCATCTCTCACAGTTGAAGTGTACCTATGATTAAAATTACAGACCTCTACATGCTTTGTAAATAGGAAAACCTGCAAAATCGGCAGAGTATCAAATACTTGTTCTCCCTACTGTATGGGTATGCTTGTATTATGTGGTTCTCATCTTATTCCCTGTGTCCGAGGTTTGGTGAGCAAAGCGTTTGAGAATGCGAAGACCAAGCAGATGGTGAGGAATGGACCCATTCCAGACTCAGACCAATGGGATGAACACTACATGCCTCCAGGACTGGTGGACGATGCTGACCAATTCGATCCTGAATCTCCCAGATTAGATAAGACCATTTTTGCTTAGAAATGTGTTCTGGGATCATGTTATGAAGACTATAATGAACATTTCCAAAGGAAGAGTTATAGTTGGATGTTGTGTTTGATCTCTTCAGTTAATGTGGATTTGAATATTAAAATGTTTTTCTTGGTTTATGTGTTTTTAAATGTTAGTCAAGGGTGGATTGATAGAGAAATTATATAAGTTAAATGACTAAAAGTTAAAACAACCACCCAATTGTGTTCTCTTGTAGTTAGGCAAGCAGAAGTGTAAACGTTGAAACCAATAACAGGAGACCAGTTTCCAAAACAGATGTCCCCACACAGGGAGGGGGAGTGAGAGGCTTGCAGAATATTGTGAGAACGCGATAACTATGTATGGGAATAGTGAAAAAATGCAGCCTGCCTGAGTAAGGAGTAGCCTATGATAAGAACGTGTGTGTGTGTGTGTGTGTGTGAGTATAAAAAGACTGTGCTACCATTTTTGGGGCAGAGCTCTCATGAATAAAAGACTGATCTAATGCAGAAATGAGACTTTGTTTAATTCATTATTAACTAGAGACTTACAACCTCTGGGAATTATTAAAAGCTTGAGAAGTAGTTGACTTCAACCATTGAGATAACAAAATTCTCGTGACAAATGCCTGATTCACATAGTCCCCTCTGAACAGTTGATGTTGAGATGTGTCTGTTACTTGAACTCTGTGAAGCATTTCGTAGGGCAGCAATCTGAGGTGCAGTTAACTCTAATGAACTTATCCTCTGCAGCAGAGGTAACTCTGGGTCTTCCTTTCCTGTGGTGGTCCTCATGAGAGCCAGTTTCATCATAGCGCTTGATGGTTTTTGCGATTGCACTTGAAGAAACTTTCAAGGTTCTTGAAATGTTCCGAATTGACTGACATTCATGTCTTAAAGTAAAGTAATGATGGACTGTCATTTCTCTTTGCTTATTTGAGCTGTTCTTGCCATAATATTGACCTGATCTTTTACCAAATAGGGCTGTCTTCTGTACACCACCCCTACCTTGTCACAACACAACTGATTGGCTCAAACGCATTATTCCTCAAATTAACTTTTAACAAGGCACACCTGTTAATTGAAATGCATTCCAGGTGACTACCACATGAAGCTCGTTGAGAGAATGCCAAGAGTGAGCTGTCATCAAGGCAAAGGGTGGCTACTTTGAAGAATCTCAAATATAAAATATATTTTGATTTGTTTAACACTTTTTTTCTTACTACAGTACATGATTCCATATGTGTTATTTCATAGTTTATGTCTTCACTACTATTCTACAATGTAGAAAATTGTTTAAAAAACTTTTGACTGGTCTGTACAAATACACATGCACACACATTTTCCTTATAAATAATGCTGACATACTCACTTCTCAAACTTGTGTATCTGCTCATCATTGAAGGGAAGCTCTAGGACAATCACATAGATGTATTAAGCACACAACACACAGGAGATACATGTTAGACATGCAAGGGCCCACACACACGCATGCATGCGCACTCACACACACACACACACACACACACAACGTACTTCCAGTCAGTCGGTCTTTGCGATACTGCTGGTGAATGGCCATGATCTTCTCTAGAAAGACCTCCATCTTCTGGATGCTGTAGAGGTCAGAGTTCACATCAGACCCCATTTTAACCCCAGCTCTCTGCACACTACAATCCCTTTGCCCAGAGTCCTTGTATAGATCTTTCTATAGATGTGAATAAGGGACAGTTATAAACATTAGGAAGAAAGTCTCACCTCTTGTCCTCAGACAGATTTTCAGAGTGTTTGGCCAGTTCTACGTGAAGGTGTTCTAGACGGGTCTGGAACTCCCGGATCCCCCTGGTGTACACTGGCAGGTTCTCCCTGATCTACATGGAGAGAAAAGGGACAAACAAGTGCAACACCAGCCAAGATCAAGGACCCTTCCCATCCCCACCACGCAACACCCTTCCCCAGTCAGTTTCAACTGAATTGGCACCTTAATTGGGGAGGACAGGCTCATGGTAATGACTGGAGCGGAATTAATGGAATGGTATCAAATACATCAAACACATGGTTTCCAGGTGTTTGATGCCATTCCATTTGCTCTGTTCCAGCCATTATTATGAGCCGTTCTCCCCTCAGCAGTCTCCTGTGGTTTCAATAGTATATCTCTCACCAGCCGCAGCTTCAATGGGAAACTGGCCTCTGGGGCGTCAATGGGAAACTGGCCTCTGCAAGAGGAGAGGATGGGAGGACAGGATGAGAGGAGAGGATGAGAGGAGGACATGAGGCACGGTGATAGATAAATTAAAGTATTGCTACAACTGGTTTAGGTGTTCATTGCTCACAATGTTACAATGACTGAGATTGTAAGTGTTGGTATGTGACTGTGTGTATGTGGTCTGTCACTCACAGTGTATGTAGTCTGCGCTCAGAGCTGTGGCAGGACTGCAGTCTCATGTCGACCGTGCTGATACCGAGCATCGCGTCGCCACACTCCCTACGCACCTTCTCGCTGGGAGTGGGGGGGGGGGGGGGGGGGGGGGGGGGGGGGGGGGGGGGGGACAGAGAGGAGAGCATCAATCATGGCTGATTGGTGGGATGTTGCTGGTTTGTTCTAACGGTATGTGTGTATCTCACATGAAGCTGTAGTATCCATGTAGGAGCACCTCTCTGTGTGTGTGTAAGGAACGCATTATCCTCACATACTGATGGACCACTCCTACTATCACCTAGACAGGAGAAAAGAGAGGGATGAGAGGAGGAGAATGGGAGAGAGGAGGGAAAAGAGGGGGGTTGATTAAGAGTGATTCACTAAATAGAAAAACACCGCCATCAACAGATGCATTTACATTTACGTCATTTAGCAGACGCTCTTATCCAGAGCGACTTACAAATTGGTGCATTCACCTTATGATAGCCAGTGGGACAACCACTTTCCAATTTTTATTTTATTTTTTTCTTTCAAATATTTTAATGTTTTATTTTTAGACTATATAAAACATATTTTTATTAATTTTTTGTATTTTATTTTTTGTTGGGGGGGGGGGGTAGAAGGATTACTTTTATACTATCCCAGGTATTCCTTAAAGAGGTAGGGTTTCAAGTGTCTCCGGAAGGTGGTCAGTGACTCTGCTGTCCTGGCGTCGTGGGGGAGCTTGTTCCACCATTGGGGTGCCAGAGCAGTGAACATTTTTGACTGGGCTGAGCGGGAACTGTGCTTCTACAGAGGTAGGGGGACCAGCAGGCCAGAGGTGGAAGAACGCAATGCCCTCGTTTGGGTGTAGGGACTGATCAGAGCCTGAAGGTAAGGAGGTGCCGATCATTCAGAGAGTTTTAACTGTCTCTTCCAGTTGTTCAAACAATGCTGGATCCCATGACTCACGTGTGTGGAGTGACACACCTACCTTGGAGAAAGAGTAGTCAGCCACAACGTCAAACCGGGATGGGATAATGGGCATCTCCGCTACAGAAGACAAAACACATTATTTAAAGGGTTTTAATCCATTAGAAACACAATATTAATGTGTGTGTGTGTGTGTGTGTGTGTGTGTGTGTGTGTGTGTGTGTGTGTTTGTGGCAGAGAGGTGAAGAGGCCCCTATACCATTTATATGAGTAGTGGGGTAGACACAAGGGACCCCTGTAATATCACATCACCCAGGGGGCTACTGAGGAGAACTGGTGAGCAGAATGTGTGTGTGTGTGTGAGGTAGAAAGTGTGGTAGAGATGGTAGTGGCTAGGGGATGTTGGATGTTTTAGGTTTTTTGGGGGGGATAGTGATTTAAGGGTCTGGGCCAAAGGGGCCAGGAGGATCAGCTTACATTCGCTGTAGGGGAGTCCAGCGTGTGTCTCTGGGGCGCGGCTGAGCAGCAGTAGGGGCTGGGAGGGCGAGGTCGGGGGGAAGTTGACCACCTTCATAGAGCCCTCCAGGGAAAGGTCATGACCCAGGAACAGGAAGTGCTGTTGCTCCAGCCCCACCCCCGTCTGAGACGCCACCTCCTCACAGAAGACGGCCGCCCTGGGAGACGGGAGAGGTGTGGGGGCACAGGTGGGTGTGAGTAAAGACTGGCAAGTGTGTGTGTGTGTGTGTGTGAGTGTGTGTGTGTGTGTACACTGTACGTGTGTGTGTGTGTGTTTGGGTGTAGACTCACGTGTTGTAGTGGTGTATGTATATGCGGTGAGTTGCGGCCTGTTGCAGGGAGAACAGATGGACTGAGACTCTCTGTAGTATGTCTGTGGTGGCAGAAAAAAACTGGTCAAATGCCCAACACCTCTCCTGGTCTGCCTCCAATATACCAGCTAACACTGGCACTAGCTGACCACTCAGACCCCTACACACAGGGGGGGGAGAGAAGAGAAGAAGTGGAAGAATGAGGAGAGGGATTTGGTAAAAAGAGAGTGAGGGACTAAAGGTCTGACACAAACACAGAGGTACTGACTTTGAGAGCTGGCAGCTGTGGGGTAGGTGGTAGCTCCACTGTATAGGTCCGTCATTGACCCTCTGGACTCCAGCAATGGCCCCTACCGGCTTCTCTGTGGTGATCTTATACCTACACGGCAAGGAGAGGGGGAGCAGAGGAGAGGACACTAGCTATTTATTGTACCGTCCTGTTTCAGCTGGTGTTGTGTTTTGATGAATCCCAAATAAATAAAATAGCAATAACTTGTTAATTTCAATGTAATTACAATTGACCCATAGTAATTACATACACACTAACTGTTCGAGCTATGAAACACACAACAAACACAGACTTACATGGTGGGTTTGTTCTTGCGGGGTCCTCCGTAGGGTGTGAAGGGTAAAGAACCGGTGGCAGCGTGGTAAAACGTCACTCCAATACTCCACAGGTCAACACTCACACCATAGGTCTTCTGCTGGGGCTTCCGCAGCACTGCGCGCTCATACATGTCTGGGTGCTACACACACGCGCACACACGCTAAATACTATAGCCTGCCCTAAATACCATAGCCTGCCCTAAATACCATAGCCTGCCCTACCTTAAGTTATCTGCTGAGACTTATGAAAAACTGCACGCTCAGACATGTCTGAGAGAACATTCAATTAAATCTCTCCTCTCCGACCTGTTGTTGTTGTCTATAACGGTTCTGTACTTTGTCATGTATTTGTACGTTTTATGTGGACCCCAGGAAGAGTAGCTACAGCGTGTGCAGTAGCTAATGGGGTTCCTAATAAATTAAACTGTCTCTTACCCTTCTCCTCTTCTCCCCATAGCCTCCCTGTCTTCTCTCCTCCACTACCTCTCCTCTTTACTCCCTCGGTACACCTCTCCTCCCTCTCTCACCAGGTATTCCTCTGTTCCGTAGAGGGAGACAAACTTCTCATCATCCTCTAGTTCTCTGGCCGCTCCGAAGTCTGTTAGCTTATAGATGGACCTCCCGTCCTCTCCCACCTGACGAATGATGTTCCCAGGCTTAATGTCCCGATGCACCACCCCGTTCTCACGCAGATGGTTCATCCCGTGCACTAGAAGATATAAGATGAATGGTTCATCCAAATGATTGGGGGAGGGGGGCACCTTCTCCCCTCATCTCCAGGCCCCTAACCCCTCTACCTCTCTACCCCTCCAACCACACACACTCACCCACACACTGTAGTACTATGAGGAACTCTGGTTCTGGAAGACCGAAGGCGTTCTCTGGCTCCTCCAGCAGACTGAGCAGACAGCCTCCTGAACAATACTCCATCACCAACACCTTCTGTTTACTGCTCAGCTAGAGACAGAGAGAGATGGGGGGTTTACGAAAGTAAAAAAACAGTTTGTTGCTACGCCTCTTCTCCTCTCTCTCCCCCCCCCCCCCCCATCCTTACCTCCTCCACAGAGAAGAGCTTGACGATGTTGTTGTGGTTGAGTCTCCTGTGCATCTCGAATTCTCTTATCTGAACCTTGTACGGACGACTGTAGCTCATCAGGTTAAACACCTTCACCGCAACCTGCTCCCCTGTCTTCTACACACACACACACACACACACATACAAAGTTAGTTATCAAAAGTTAGTTAGTTAGCTATCGCATGACATCTCACTCACTCTTTGATGTGTTTGATCTACACTGAACAAAAATATAAACGCAGCATGTAAAGTGTTGGTCCCATGTTTCATTAGCTGAAATAAAAGATCCCAGAAATGTTCTGCTTATTTCTCTCAAATGTTGTGCACAAATTTGTTTACATCCCTGTTAGTGAGCATTTCTCCTTTTCCAAGATAATCCATCCACCTGTGTCACGACTTCCGCCGAGGCTGCCTCCCCTCCTTGTTCGGGCAGGCTTCGGCGTTCGTCGTCACCGGCTTACTAGCCACTGCCGCTCCATTATTCATCATTCCATTTGTCTTGTCTTGTCAATTACACACACCTGGTTCTTATCCCCTCATTAGTCTGTGTATAAGTGTTCCCTCTACCCCCCTTGTCCTTGTGGGTGATTGTTATTTGTGAGAGCAGTGTAGCTCGGTGGAGCTACTCTCCCTTTGTATTGCCGCGGTAGATATTTCCCCTGTGCCTGTATATTGTTGGAGTATCCCGTACTGTGTATTGCCAGGGTAGATAGGTTCCCCTGTGCCTGTTTTCGTGTGTCGCTATCCAGCGCATTTGTCTACGATGGAATAAACTCTGTATTCGGTGATTTACCCTCCTGCGCCTGACTCCTATCACACTCATCACAGAATCACCCACCCGTTATGGAGTCAGCGGGAGAGGAGCGCTTGCCTGGAGTCGTGGCATGGGTCCAGGAGCATTCCACGATGCTGGCCAGTTTGGGGGAAGCAATGGATCGGGTTCTTCAGGTCGTCCAACGCCTAGAGAGGAGAGGACCCGATCTGTTGAGACCAGCTGGCCAACCGGATCCAGCCACCTACACCCCAGCACCCGGAGGGATCGAGATATCCCGACCACGGGCGTTCGACAGGACGGCGGCGCTCTGCCAAGGATTCCTCCTCCAACTGGAGCTCTACTTCTCCAGCATCAGGCCGGCCCCATCGGAGCGGGAGAAGGTGTCCGTCCTCGTTTCCTGCCTCTCGGGGAAAGCCCTGGAGTGGGCCAACGCGGTTTTGAACGGAGGAGGAGCCGCGTTGGAGAACTACGGGAAAGTGATGGAAGTTACTGTACCAGTCACCATGATCACCAAGGAGACTCATTGTGAGCAGGTTAATTTTTCTATTATTGAGTCTCCTGCTTTCCCTGTGGTATTAGGTATCCCTTGGCTAGCACTCCACAACCCCACCTTCTCATGGCCGCAGAGGGTTCTCACAGGGTGGTCGCGAGAGTGTCAGGGTAGGTGTCTAGGTGTTTCCGTTGGTGCAACCACAGTGGAAGGTCCAGACGGTACCTTCACCGTGCGCATTCCCCCCGAATACCTCGATCTGGTGTATGCGTTTCCGAAGACGCAGGTGACAAAATTACCACCTCATCGGGCGGGGGATTGCACGATAAACCTTCGGGTAGACGCTGCACCTCCCAGGAGTCATGTGTACCCCCTGCCGCAGGCTGAAATGGAGGCTATGGAAACATACGTCACCGAGTCCCTGGGCCAGGGGTATATACGTCCCTCCACTTCACCCGCTTCCTCAAGTTTCTTCTTTGTGAAGAAGAAAGACGGTGGTCTGCGCCCGTGCATTGATTATCGATCACTGAACAAGGAGACGATAAGATTTAGTTATCCTCTCCCCCTCATTCCTTCAGTGATTGAGTCAATGCATGGGGCACGCTTCTTCACCAAATTAGATCTCAGGAGTGCATACAAGCTGGTGCGTGTTCGGGAGGGGGATGAGTGGAAGACAGCATTCAGCACAACCACGGGGCATTATGAATACCTGGTGATGCCCTACGGTTTGATGAATGCTCCATCCGTCTTCCAGTCCTTTGTGAACGAGGTGTTTCGGGACATGCTTGGTCGCGGTGTGGTGGTCTACATCGATGACATCCTGGTGTATTCTGCCACGCGCGCCGAGCATGTGTCCCTGGTTCGCAAAGTGCTGGCCCGACTGTTGGAAAATTACCTTTATGCCAAGGCAGAGAAGTGTATGTTTTTCCAGCAGTCCGTCTCCTTCCTCGGATACCGCATTACCACCTCAGGTGTGGAGATGGAGGGAGATCGCATTTCAGCCGTGTGTAATTGGCCGACTCCAACCACGGTTAAGGAGGTGCAGCGCTTCCTTGGCTTCGCCAATTACTATTGAAGGTTTATCCAGGGCTTTGGCAAGGTCGCAGCTCCCATTACATCCCTGTTGAAGGGTGGGCCGTCCCGGCTCAGCTGGTCTGCTGAGGCTGACCTGGCCTTCAGGAGACTGCGGGGTCTGTTCACCTCAGCCCGGTACTGGTCCACCCCGATCCATTACTACCGTTCGTAGTGGAGGTGGATGCGTCCCAGGTAGGGATAGGCGCTGTCCTATCTCAACGCTCGGGCACACCACCCAAGCTCCGCCCCTGTGTCTTCTTCTCTAAGAAGCTCAGCCCGGTGGAGCAGAACTACGACGTTGGTGATTGGGAGCTGTTGGCTGTTGTCCGAGTTTTGACCGTGTGGAGGCAATGGCTCGAAGAAGCGAAACACCCTTTCCTCGTCTGGACGGACCACCGTAACCTGGTGTACATCCGGGCAGCGAGGAGGCTGAATCCTCGCCAGGCCAGGTGGGCTCTATTCTTCACCCGGTTTGATTTTACACTGTTCCGGGTACGAAGAACGTGAAGGCAGATGCACTGTCCCGGCTGTATGACACAGAGGAGAGGCCCAGAGACAACACCCCCATACTCCCGGGCTGCATTGTGGCGCCGGTAGTATGGATTGTGGCGCCGGTAGTATGGGCGATGGACGCGGATATAGAGCAGGCATTACGCACAGATCCATCTCCACCTCAGTGTCCAGCTGGGCTGCGGTACGTGCCTGCTCTTATCCGTGATCGTCTGGTCTACTGGGCACACACATCACCCTCCTCTGGTCACCCAGGTATCGGTCGTACAGTGCGCTGCCTGACCGGAAAGTACTGGTGGCCTACCTTGGCTAAGGACGTAAGGGTGTACGTCTCCTCCTGCTCGGTGTGCACCCAGAGTAAGGCACCTATTTTTTAACTTATCTTCCCCGCTCCCAAGGTAACACCACCATCCTGGTCGTCGTGGACCGCTTTTCCAAGTCCTGCCGCCTCCCTCCTCTGCCCGGTCTCCCCACGGACCTGCAAACTGCGGAGGCCCTGTTTACTCACGTCTTCCGGCACTACGGAATACCAGAGGATATAGTGTCCGACCGAGGTCGCCAGTTCACATCCAAGGTCTGGAAGGCATTCATGGAACGTTCACGGAACCGCCTTCAGTACCTCGTGGAGTGGGAGGGGTACGGTCCGGAGGAACGGTGCTGGGTCCCGGTGAGGGATATCCTCAATCCCTCCCTGTTGCGGGATTTCCACCGTCACCATCCGGCTCGCCCTGCTCCGCGTCCTCCTGGCCGTCCCCGAGGCCGGGGTCGGCACGCTGCTGGAGCTGCGCGTCAAGGGGGGGGTACTGTCACGACTTCCGCCGAGGCTGCCTCCCCTCCTTGTTCGGGCAGGCTTCCGCGTTCGTCGTCACTGGCTTACTAGCCACTGCCGCTCAATATATCATCATTCCATTTGTCTTGTCTTGTCAATTACACACACCTGGTTCTTATCCCCTCATTAGTCTGTGTCTTTAAGTGTTCCCTCTGCCCCCCTTGTCCTTGTGGGTGATTGTTATTTGTGAGAGTAGTGTAGCTCGGTGGAGCTCTTCTTCTTTGTATTGCCGGGGTAGATATTTCCCCTGTGCCTGTATATTGTTGGAGTATCCCGTACCGTGTATTGACAGGGTAGATAGGTTCCCCTGTGCCTGTTTTCGTGTGTCGCTATCCAGCGCATTTATGTACGACGGAATAAACTCTGTATTCGGTGATTTACCCTCCTGCGCCTGACTCCTATCACACTCATTACAACCTGACAGGTGTGCCATATCAAGTGTATGGCATTGTGTGGGTGAGCGGTTTGCTGATGTCAACGTTGTGAACAGAGTGCCCCATGGTGGCAGAGGGGTTATGGTATGGGCAGGCATAAGCTACGGACAACAAACACAATTGCATTTTATCAATGGCAATTTGAATGCACGGAGATACCGTGACGAGATCCTGAGGCCCATTGTCGTGTCATTCATCTGCCGCCATCACCTCATGTTTCAGCATGATAATAAACAGCCCCATGTTGCAAGGATCTGTACACAATTGTCAGAGATAGTGATGGAGAAGAAAGTGAAGCAAGTATGGAACATAGTGGTACAAATAAAGGGGGGAGTAGGAAAGAGAAAAATAAAGTGGGAGAGAAAGGGAGGAGGGGTACTGCCTCCAGTAGTTGATCTAGAAGTGTTGGCGAGACTACAGAAAGATAGGGAGGGTGTTGATCCATCTGATTTGTTTAAGAGACGTCTGGATACTGTGTATCAGGATTTTGTGGCCATTTACACAGATGGTTCAAAAGATCCAAGGACAGGACCTACTGGGTCAGCATTTGTAGTGCAGGAATGTGGGGTGGTGGTCAGGAAACGTATTACACATAATCTGGCTGTATATACGGCGGAGCTGATGGCCATACTGTTGGCCTTGCAGTGGGCGGAGCTGATGGCCATACTGTTGGCCTTGCAGTGGGTGGAGGAAGTCAAGCCAGACAGAGTAGTTATTTTCTCTGATTCATGTGCAGTGTTGATGAGTCTCCAGTCTTTTAGCTCACGTAGCAAACAAGACCTGCTTTATGAGGTACTACAAACCCATGGTAGGATAAGACAGATGGGTATACAGACAAGCTTTACTTGGGTCCCAGCTCATGTGGGGGTGGAGGGGAACACTTACATTTACATTTTAGTAATTTAGCAGACGCTCTTTTCCAGAGCGACTTACAGTTAGTGAGGCAGTAGATGTACTGTCTTAACAAGCACTTAGTAGTGGGGATGTTGATGTTGAAGTTTCAATGAGCAAGGCAGAGGCAAAAAGCCTGATATGGACAGTGATGGTGCAGAGATGGCAGGAGCAGTGGAATAGAGATAATAAGGGAAGGCATTTATTTCAAGTATAGAGAAAAATCGGGGTGGGGAGGACGGCAGGAAGGGACAGAAGAGAACAGGCTATTTTTTAGATTAAGTGTGGGACACAGCCGGTTGAATAAGACCTTAAATGTGATAGGAAAGCATCCAACAGGAAAGTGTGATTATTGCCAGGAAACAGAGACCGCGGAGCATGTATTGCTACAGTGTGGGCAGTATCAGAGGGAAAGAGAGAGGATGAGATCTAGAATGAGGGAGAAGGGGATACAGAAAATTAGTTTAAATAGTATATTGAGTAGAACTTCATTAGATATAGTCTCAAATATTTTGTTATCTTGTTTAAGAGCAACGGGGCTGGCAGGTAGAATTTTGTTTTTCCCCGTCTCTGGCCCACACTCCAGTACAGTAGGTGGTGGTAATGCACCATAACGTTGAATGCCAAACGCCGATAAACCCCACTGAAGAAGAAGAGGTACTGCAATCTTTTTTTGTAGGGGGGAGTTTGGAGTCCTACCTTGTTGCGGGCCTTATAGACGCTGGCTGTGGCCCCCTGCCCAAGCACATCTCCCAGTGACCACAGGTAGTTGGCTGTGCTCGCCGTCATTTTCTCTGTCATGAACCTGGAGGAGTCTGTTTGGCTGCGGTAGGGAATATAGGCTATGAGTCATTACATTAACATTTTAGTCATTTAGCAGATGCTCTTATCCAGAGCGACTTACAGTTAGTGCATATATATATTTTTTTCATACCCCCTGTGGGAATCGAACCCACAACCCTGGCGTTGCAAACGCCATGCTCTATCAACTGAGCTACATCCCTGCCAGCCATTCCCTCCCCTACCCTGGATGACGCTGGGCCAATTGCGCGCCGCCCCATGGGTCTCCCAGTCGCGGCCGGCTACGACAGAGCCTGGATTCGAACCAGGATCTCTAGTGGCACAGCTAGCACTAAGATGCAGTGCCTTAGACCACTGCGCCACTCTGGAGAACAGAAACACTTTCTCTTCAGAATGAAACCTATTCACAGGATGTTGGTAGGAAATTAAGAATGAAGGGGTTCATATAAAGTCAGAGGAAATGTGGACTTAGCTCCTGTCAGAAAGGTAAACAATAAGTGAAAGAAGTTAACGTTTTCAAATTGTCAAGTGAATATAGACTACCTGTTACATTATGAGATACATACAACTGCCTCGAATCATACCTCTATGGTACCGTTGATACACATTTATTTTGCAGCCGAGCATACAATGTAAAACGTTCTCAACAGAGGAGAACCGCCAGGTGTTGTGACGTGCCAACTGTGAAGGGATTTCTGACAGGGCGTTGTCAAACACAGAAAATAGACACATAAAACACATTTCTACACAACACTGCAGACAATAGGCATATATACATGTTTGAGCGGCAGGTAGCTTAGTGGGTAAGAGCGTTGTGCCAGTAACCGAAAGGTCGCTGGTTCTAATCCCCGAGCCAACTAGGTGAAAAATCTGTCGATGTGCCCTTAAGCAAGGCACTTAACCCTAATTGCTCCTGTAAGTCGCTCTGGATAAGAGCGTCTGCCAAATGACTAAAATGTAAATGTTTGAAAACGGATAGGCAAACATTGCAAAAAGGCTCGATTAATTGAATAAAAGTATCCTACCTGCCTCGATTCTCCCCACAGTGGTGAGAAGTGACAGGAACAACTTCGAACTATTCGCTTGCACAATATGCTACATTTCTCTGACGTTTCCCAACAAACCCAATGGCAATTCCTAATGTATTCTCCGTCACTGAATGGGGTTACCTTTGAAGATTTAGGCGGAAATGCAGTCTGCATTCTATCAGAGAGGAAGAGTACTAAGTGAATAATTTTTGTATGGAGGCCAATGAGAGAGTGTCGAACACAAAATGAAATTGCTACTTGAGGCTTATTTGATAGAAGTTTCGTATTTGTTAGGGTGTTACTAGTGCACTGATATAAGTGGACGCACGTGGCATTTCGGGAACTTTGAAAAAAACGACTCAATTGTGCCTGTTGTTCACACGCGTACCTGCCCTTTCATTGGCTTGAATGGTCCCACCTCTTCCCTGCCTTCCACCTTTGAGGACATGTATTTCCATTGTTAGAGCGATCACTCGACTATCTTATCAATATAATAGATAATCTTTGTTCGGTGCAGTGCTGTAACGTCAGAGTTTTGCACCAGCCGGCTTCAAAGGTAGGCTCTAGTGACATCTAGTGGTCTAGATTGTCTACTACATCACTCTAGACAGCCGGGTTGCCTCCCACAAAGCTCCTAGATCTTGGTTTTCCGAGACCACTACTACATCCATAGTGTTTCAGGTTTCATAGGGCCTACTGTAATTTATTGGAAACTTCCATTTTGAAAAAAAAGATTTGAGAAGGAAAGATACGAATATTCATATTGTTTATGACGTCCAGGCCTGGACTATCAGAGAGAACTGTGAGGGGTGTTCCTCGAGGTTTCCTATTCTAAATGCTCTCCTGAAGAGAAGAGACAGATAACCAGATATAAGAAAAGAGCGGGTAGCAGCATCAATCAATTCACGTACTACTATCAAGATGGCTATAGCGTTCAGTGCAACTCGATTGTCTCTTTGAAAGAAGTTCACATCAAAGAGACAACCACAAAGTGCAGGAGCGCTTTTTTGAGTTCCTTCCCATCTCGGAATCAACCTCAGTCTCAATCGCCAGTGTGCTTTTGGAGAGACTGAACGGTCTTTTTGCCGACGACGTGAAAGTCAAACTCATTGCGCAAGCTTACGATGGAGCCAGTGTGATGAGGCGAGAGAAGGCAAAAGGTGCGTGAGCATTTCAAGAAAGGCCATTACGTGCATTGCTATGCGCATCAGCTGAATTTGATCATGCAGCAAGCTAAAAAGTAACTAGTAAACTAGTCCTCAGCATGCCTGATTTCAATGAGAAAGTCATTGACCGCTTTGCTGCATTGAAAGAGAGAAGAGAACAGTTTCAGTACAAGTAATGTAGCCTCTCTCTCTCTTTGTCCCTCCCTGTCTGTCTCTTTAACACACACACGCCCAAATCAGTTCACAGTTGATGTTGTTTAAAATAGTTATTTTTCATTTTAAAAAAAGTAAACAATTTTTTTTACAAATCTATACAATTGGCCAGAATATGGTTGTTCATATTTACAAAGCCATACAGATAGCTGTGTTTACCTTTTCTAGAAATTATTTTCAAATTCTGTTTTCAGGCAAAATGTCTATCACTGTTCATTTTCACAAATCTATACAAGAGGGCAGAATATGGAAGTCTATAAAAATTTCTTATTACCAATAGCTTGCATCAATGTTTTCAGTAGCCTCTATCAAAAGCTCCTGCTTGCTCAGGTGCACATATTTCCAATTCAACCATGAGGCCTTTTTGAAGCAAGTAATGTGTATATCAGTATTGACTTATATGCTGCCCCTGTCTTCATGTTGTTGCTGGACATATCTTTTTTAAAATGTGTGTAGGTCACCTAAATCATCAGAAAAATTGCCCCCCCTGAGAATTTTTTCAGGAGCCGCCACTGGATACATGCAATCCATCATCACTATCATCACCGTCATCATAATCGCCACACCAACGCAGAGACCTTCATAGCAAGCAATGTTTATTTAAAAAAGTCTACTACAAGAACTACACAAAGAATTATAGAAGACCTATTTGATTAAACTACTATTACTGTACAATATTGTACCAAAAAAAGAGTGTACCTCTGTAATGTACAACATTGTATATACAAAGTACATCTTAACACAGGATTCTCCAGTAATACAGAGACAACTATAAATATATTTGACATTACAGTCATTTTTTAGGTCTTGTGTTTGCAAATGGGCAAGAAATGCATATTTAACAATAGTTAATCATAATAAAAATCATCCTCACTCAACCAGTCCACGAGCACACCATGTAATTTTAAATGCATGATGATTGATTTGAGATCAACTGATAATATGGTGTGGAGACTGAGGTTCCTAGCTCCTATACAGTGAAGCCAGGATAACACAAAGACACCAACCACAAAGCATCACCCATGAGTGTATGTTCGTATGACATGTGTGTTAATGCCTATTCACCCCACCACTCCACACACACACAAAATCCCTCCAGTTGCCAAGATGAGGTAAGAGGAGCAACACAATGTAAAATACATCTTAAAATACACACATAGAGATAAAACATTACATTTAAGAATTCAACCACCTGTTACAGAGCATTTGGGAATGCAATAATACAATTATATACCTGGGGTTTGCAGGGTGCGGCGGAAGGAATAAGGGAGGAAACAGACAGAGGGATATTTGTAAGGAAAAGGTGTGTGTCTGTGGGAACAGAGGGAGAATGCTAGGAGAAGGAGAATGGTACAGAGAGAGGAGGGTGATAGGGAGAGGGGGAATGACAGAAATGTCTGCCTGGTTAACTAGTGGCTCTGCCCTTCTCCCCTCAGGGTTCTCTGAGCCCTGACATTAAATATCCTGATCTCAGACAGGGTGTTAAAGCTGTCAATCACTAGACCATCCCGCCTCCCACTGACCTTGACCAATCAAAACATTCTGTCTCCTCCCCTTGACAAATCACAGTTCAGACGACATAAAATGCTAATTCTCCCACTGTGACAGACAGGACAGGATTGTTTTGACATTGACCACGTGATGCGACACTCAGAGTTGTGTAACAGACATTTAGGGAGTCACAGCAGAGGTTCTCTTCAAGACGAGCGCAACAGAACAGACCTCAGGGCTGTTGCTTTAACTCATGTCATTGGATTATATAAATCCAATCAATTATTTGATGCTGGTCCGCCATGATACACACCAATGCTATTGGTAGAGGAACGACAGAGGAGACAGTGACACTTTTCCTCTTGTCCTCTGTCTGAAATGGCTGGGACTGAGTACTAGTCAGTCACACAAACATTAAGCCTAGTGAGCAGTGATGCTGGTAGCAGAGTGGCTCTGGTGACACAGGAAGTGGTTCTGCTGTCTGTGTCCCCTTCCTGTTTGTCCCCCTGTCTCCAGAGAGCTGCCATTAGTTGGTTCCCTTCATGATGAGCAGTTGAAGGGCAAATCCACTCAAAAACTATATTTGTATATTTTTTCATTAGTCCACTGTTGTTACAGTCCCAAAAGGCTTTGCAGGTCAGCAGTCAAGTTTTCAAGATATTAGACATTCAAGAAGCGAAGTGTCACCGGCCACATCATCATGATGATGCAAAATATCTTGAAAACTTGACTGCTGACAAGCAAAACATTTTGGGACTGTATCAACAGTGGACTAATGAAAAAAATACCAAACAATTCTTGAGTGGATTTTCCATTTATGTTTGAGTTCTAAGAGCTGTGAAGAGTCACTGACACACAATTTAGGATTACATAATCTGAGGATTAACTAACAACTGGAAGAAAACAAGCATAATGTCATTATTCCGAATGTGCTTGACGAGGTTTGTTTGTGGTTGTATCTAAACAAACTCTTCCACCTCACTGAGATTCCTCATCTGCACTTTTCCAGTTATCATCATGATTATTAAACATTTACACATAAAAATAACATCTTTGCTGATTTTGTTTGGAGTCATAATTTGTGTGTAGCGGGTCTAAGAGGTGCGTTGCTTGTATTGTAGATAGATGCAGTCAGTCAGTCAGCACTGCGACTGCTGTGGCCCCAGCATGCGATTAGAACCTGAAAGGCATTTAGCTGCCACAGAACACATACACACGTCACACACGTCATGCATGTGTCTGTGTATTCTACTTCTGCAATAGAGTGTATATTAATGCTGGGAATCTAAGGGAGAGAGAAGCAGCAGGCCTGGCATGCTGCTGAGTTGATGAGTCTGAGTCAGACTCTTATTGCTAAAGAAAGGGTGGTTATTGAACACGGCCATGTCGTGCGCTTATGCACCAGCAGGAGGTGCTGCTGGAAAGCCGGACAAGCGTTGCACTATGTTGGTTGTACTGAATGTAGAGCAAGGCTATTCAATTCTGGTCCTGGAGGGCCCCATCACTACTGCATTAAATTATTTCCCTCGAACTAGGGACTCCTTCACACCTGGGAAACAGGTGATTGGACTCTCTGCCAAATCAATTACATTAGTTGGTCAATCAATTTCCACTTAGAAAAGAAAACCAGCATAACTTTGGCCACTGAGGGCTGCTAATTGAAAAGCCCTGATGTAGAGTCTAGTAGAATACAGTAGAAAAGAGTGTAGTGTAAAGCAGCTCTACTGGTTAGCGCTTTATGTTAGAATGAATCCCCACAACACTCAGCTTGCTGCCCAGACACCTAGGGGGATCAGAGATGTAGCCTAGCTCTCTCCTCCTCACATAGAAACAGGCATTCTCAACTCCAGCGCTTTTCTATCTGAGATATAGCCCAGCTTTTCACTGGAGTCGCTTTATCCTCTGGTCCTCTCCTCATCTCTGATCTTCCATCTGTCCATCCATCCATCTATCAGTCCAGCTCTCTCTTTCTTTCTGTCCAGGCTGGTAGATCCAGTCTTGCCCCAGTCTTGAAGCAGCAGAGTGAACATGTTACTGAGTTTTGTACTGAGTTAGTTAATTGTTCTCTGTTCCACAGTCTGTCTGTGTGTTCTCAGAGAGTGTGGATTCAGGAGTCACACACACACACAGCCATCCAGGTGAACCACTCCTCCTGTCCACTCCAGTCTTCTCAAGGTTAGTTGGGGATAAATGTCCTTAAATGTCCCATCTATTTCAAATCAAACAGTGCTCTCACTCAAGTGTAAGGTATGCCACACAGACCTCACACAGGCACACACACACACACACCTCACACCAGTATATACAGTACAGGCGCCATATCTCTTTTTGTCATGCTGTTTGTCCATTTTGATGCCTTGTTTGATTTTCTGTATTGGTCCGTGTCAGTCAGAAGGTAGGTGTGTTGACTGATGCTCCCAAGAAGGGGCAGACTTGAGTCATGGATGCTTTACATATTGTTTGGGGTTTTTCCCCATAAATGGTTAAAGAGTTTGGGAGGGTAAGCTGATCCTAGGTGAGAGCTATCCCACTTATCACTGGGGTGAGGGGAGATGGGGGCAGGATGTGTGGATCGAAGGGGTGTGTGTGTGTATATGTGTATATGTGGGTGAGTGCCCTCAGGCGGGGCAGGACTTGTCGTTGGGCTGGGGTGGGGGTGGTGGAGGAGGGGTTGGGGGGACAGTGGTGGTTGGGGAGCCCATAGCCGGACTGCCACCTCCTCCACCCTTGGGGAAGACCACCGGCTTGGGCCGCGTGGCTGGAGGGCGAGGCTCTCGGAAGGAGGGATTGGAGGCAGAGAGGGCTGAGGAGGCGAGAGAGGAGGAAGCGGAAGAGGGCAGGGGGCTCCTGGGCTTGGAGGGGCGGAAGGAGGAGGGGACGTCGCTGGCGGACGACGCGCTGCGTTGGAGGGGGTGTGAGTGTGGAGATCCTGCGCCCTCGCTGTCCCTCAGCAGACGGGAGTGGAGAGGACTGGAGGGCTCGGACGCGCCCCCACCTCCACCCCCACACACACCCTTCAGCTGCTCCAGTGTGTCCAGCACCACGTCGGGGGTGTGTGTGTGCTTGGCACTGCTCTGCCTCTCCAGCTCTCTCAGTTCACTCAGAGCAGAGCTCATAGCTGCCTCGATATCCTGAAAGAGGAGATATCAGACAGAGATACAAATCAGAATACACACACACATTTGGATGAGAGGTGAGGGGTCAAAGATGATAGGTGCGGTGTCAGAGGTCAGAGATGGGCGTACCTGTGAGGTGGGCTCCATCTGAGCGATGACCTCAGGATCCAGGGGCCGGTGGTTGCTGAAGCTCTTAGAGCGCCCCGTGGTAGTCGCCTTGCAGAACTGAGGGCTCTCCACCTACACAACAAATAAGACTCATTACAATCAGCAATAACAAGAAATAATAGATGACAGTGGAGGCTGCTGAGGGAAGGATGGCTCATAATAATGGCTGGAATGGAGTCATTGGAATGGTATCGACTATATGGAAACCACGTCTTTGATGTGTTTGATACCATTCCATTGACTTCATTCCAGCCATTATTATGAGGCGTCCTCCCCTCTGCAGCCTCCACTGATATAAAATAATACCCAACAACTGAAAAATAACAATAGTACAGTACTAATAGAAGCTATGTTTTTGAAGCTACCTTGGTCTTGAGAGAGGAGTGGCGTGTGATAGAGGAGTTGAGGACACTATGGGCGCTGACCGGTCGCTTGTCGCCGCCCTCCTTCACCAGAGCCCCTCCCACCGGCAGACTGGCCGTCCTTACGCCCCCTCCTGTCGCCCCAGATAGGGACACATCACCCCCCTGGCCCACCTCAGACCCCCAAAAGTTTCTACGGATACTCCCCAACTCAGGCCTCTTCCTCATCCTGACAGGGAGAGAGGGAGAGAGAAAGAAAAAGAAAGAAAGAAAGAAAGAAAGAAAGAAAGGAGAAGGATAGAGAGAGGGAGAGAGAAAAGAGGAGAGAGAAAAGGAGAGAGAGAGAGAGAGAGAGAGAGAGAGAGAGAGAGAGAGAGAGAGAGAGAGAGAGAGAGAGAGATCGGAATGGTTAGTGACAAGATGAAAACAGACACAATGAGATCTAATTGGGTCAGTGAAGGTGTAAATGACGAGATGCTGTATTGTGATGTGTGCGTGTGTGTCTTACTTGTTGAGGTTGGCTAGGTAGATGTCAGCTACGTGAGCTCCAGTAGGAGAGGCAGCGGTGCCCCTAGTGGACGCTCTATCCTTCTGCAACTCCGCTTCAGTCTTCGGACTGCCTCTGCCCCCGTCCGGCCTGGAACACACACACATGATCAGACTACAGCCAGGCCAACTAGAACTCTATTCTCTCATCTTCTCTATGTTGGCCTGTACTGGTCTATACTGGTTTGTAATGGTTTAAACTGATCTATACGGATCTGGACAGGTCTGTACTGGTCTAAAGTGGTTTGTACTGGTTTATACTGATCTGAACAGGTCTGTACTGGTCTGAACCCTTCTGTACTAGTGTAAACTGGTCTTCTGGTCTCTTACATGTCCTGAACCACTATGTACTGGTGAGGCACCAGTCCGTCCACTCCGTTGTGTCGGCCCTCCCACCAGTCATCACTGGCTCGCTGGAAAATGAGGAGAGACGCGCCCTTCTTAAACGACAGCTCCCGGTTGGTCCGTCCGGAGTAGTCGAAGCGAGCGATGGCCTCTATTGGGTCAGATTCTGAAACGACCAATGAGCCTGAGAGTCAGGGAGAGGGCGAGAGGGTAGGAAGGGAGGGAGGGAGATATAAACAGAGAGAAATGGAGGGGGACAGGCAGAGAAACAGGGGAAAGAGAGGGGAGAGAGATGGGAGAAACGGGAGAGAGAGGGGAGAGAGAGGGGAGAAACAGGGGAGAAACAGGGGAGAAACAGGGGAGCAGGGGTAGAGAGAGGGAGGCGTGTTAGTGTCAAGCAGGTTAGTGCCACAGCAGTTGGTTACAGACAAAGTGGTTGGGGAGCAGGCAGTCATATAGTGATCATAGAGCTGTTATGAAGTGCTCATAAGGGGGATAAAAGAGGTCAGAGTGTGGCTGTATGGTGTGGTCTGCTAGCAGGGGGCGGGGTGATGTCAGAAGCAGAATGTTGCTGAGAGAAGCAGCTTCAGAGTTAGGGGCAGAGTGAATGAGTGCAGCATGGCATTCGTGGGCATCATACTTCCCGTCAGTGGACAGAGATCAGTGGGCAAGCTTCACCTCATTACAGTCCACAGAATTATGGAAAAATGTTTTGAACAGTGTGTGTGCATATTGCTGTGTACTCACCATCATCTCTGTTGTGGATGACAGAGATGGTGTCAGGAGCAGGTATGTCCACCAGGGGGGGCTCACATTGGGGATCACTAAGCGAGAGAGAGAGAGAGAGAGAGATTTGATTTTGAATAGGGGTGGGGGAATCAGCAACTGGTGAAACAGCTGGTCATGCAGCAAAACAGTCCAGATATGTACATACGTTTTCCCTGAGGGTGTATGTGTGTGTGTGTGTGTGTGTGTGTGTGTGTGTGTGTGTGTGTGTGTTGTGTGTGTGTGTGTGTGTGTGAGTGTGTGTGTGTGTATGTGTGTGTGTGCTTCAATGTGTATATCATGTGATCACCTACAGCTGATAAACGGCAGGTAGGTAGCTTAGTGGTTAAGAGCGTTGTGCCAGTAACCGAAAGGTCGCTGGTTCTAATCGCCGACTAGGTGAAAAATCTGTCGATGTGCCCTTGAGCAAGGCACTTAACCCTAATTGCTCCTGTAAGTCTGCTAAATGACTAAAAATGTTTACAAAAAATAAACACACACATTTCCCCTAAATGAATGAATGTGTTTATAAATGAGAGAATGAGAGAGTAAATGGTTTCAATATGACAACATCAGATACTTCCATTCATCTAGTTACAAACAGACACTTCAGATCTGGCCAGAGATAGAGCGATCTTCACTGGAGAGATCTTTGACGTTACTGTAGTGTCTCTGAGTTGCTTTGGCAAGCTCCCTGGCATGCCTGCCACTTCTACTGTTACATTACTGGACTGGTCCAACCTAAGCCTGGGTTCCAGAGGTGTGTGTCTTGGGCCTTAGATTAGTGCTCTGTGGGTAAGTGGATCCTCCTGGCCCCTCTGGCCTGGACCAGACCCTTAAATCACTACCCCCCCCAAAACCCTAAAACCATTCACCATCCCCAAGCCACTACTGTTGCCCCCGTCTCTACCACTCTCTCTCACACACACACACACACACACACACTGCTCACCAGTTCTCCTAAGTAGCAAAGAGGCCCCTTGTGTCTTCCCCACTACTCATATAAATGGTATAGGGGCCCCTGCATCTCTCTGCCTCATACACACTAACACACTGTCCCCTACTCCTGCGCCCCCACTCACCAGTCCTCGTCAGTGGCCCCTGGACTGATGTAGACGGGCCCCTGCAGGTCCCGTGGTCCGGGGAAGACACCGTCGTGGTGGATGATGATGGTCTTTATAAGCTCGTTAACGTGGGCCTGGCAGGACACCTGGTCACAGCTCTCTGGGACTGACATCAGGGTGGGCCCAAAGCAGATGGCCAGGTTATAGGGATCCATCATGTTGTCCTCACTGTACTGGGACAGGCTGGAGAGAGAGGAGAGGGTTTAGCAGGAACACACACACGTGAACACACACACGTGAACACACACACGTGAACACACACACGTGAACACACACACGTGAACACACACACACACGTACTGCCTTTATCGCATTCCTGTTGAAATCATTACCCATCATCTGTGTCCGTGTCTCTGTGTGTATACGACTGCAATGTTTAAACCAGAAAGAGTGTGTGTGTGTGGGTGGGTGTAGGACAGTAATGTTTTAACCAGGATTAGTGGAAAGCAGGGTTCCAGCCCCTCAGGCAGCAGAATGTGCTATAAAGCTCTTAGGCAGCTCATTATCTCTTTAGACTGACTGGTCTCTTGCTTCTATTCCAGACCCCTTAACAACCATGCATTGGATTGGTGCTTTAAAGGGAGTTTCCACCCCAAAATGTCTAAAAGTCCATTCAATCTTGTGTGGATGAGTGCACTCTCGGGTACAAGGGTAGTCTGACCACAATCTCAGCCCCCATAGGATAAGCCCGTTTAGTCACGGTAACTAGGCTTCTCCAAGCTCTGATGCTGCTGGTGGTCATTAGTACCCTACTAAACTTGCTAACTGCCTGGTACTCAGCACTCTATTGTCCCTCTAATCACTTTGACATCAATGCAAATAGATTCGAAAATCTAATCAAACACTTAATGAGAGCCCATGAGATCATGTTGCGCAACATTTCTATAGACTATGCAACTGTGTGAGAAAACAGTGATGACCACTAATAAAAATAGGAGGATCCCATCAGCTTTCTATAGGCTAGGCCTACTATATTTATTTCTCAACTTTCCTAATATTAAGCACATTGCTTCTCTTTAAAACAGGAGTATTGCCTACCTGGCTGGCATGAAAATAAACCACGTGGAAAAGCATCCTCCATTCGCTATTTAAGTGGATAGATGACATTTATTTTTTTCCCGCTGCCCCTGTTTCGATACAGGTGCATGATAATGGTCCATTCTAAATCAAAACAAATGTCACACATATATTATTTAGTATATGTAAAGACAAGATTAAATCAAGAATAGTCTGATGGGTGACAATATTAGCCTATCACTTGTGAATGATATATTATCACTTGTGAATGATGCCCAGTATAAGAAACAATGCCTTTTTTTTGTGACTTTTTCTAATCATAGTCACACACCTCATGTAGCCTAGCCCATAGGCCTATATGTTTTAATAAGGTTTGTTTCACAACTAAAGTGGCCATCTAACTTAGTAAAATTAGCACATTAATCCGCTTTACAACGGGTCTATGCCTAACTGGCATATATAAGCAGCGCGTGAGTTTCAAGTTTGGGGAGGGATAGTAGATTGACATAGGCTAGAGCTTTTGCTGTTCGTTTGGCCTACTCATCTTGTTGGCTGACGAAAAGTAAATGTGGACAGTTCTTTCAATATCTTCAATACAGTGGCTTGCGAAAGTATTCACCCCCCTTGGCATTTTTCCTATTTTGTTGCCTTACAACCTGGAATTAAAATTGATTTTTGACGGGTTTGTATCATTTGATTTACACAACATGCCTTCCACTTTGAAGATGCAAAATATTTTTTATTGTGAAACAAACAAGAAATAAGACAGAAAAACAGAAAACCTGAGCGTGCATAACTATTCACCCCCCCCAAGTCAATACTTTGTAGAGCCACCTTTTGCAGCAATTACAGCTGCAAGTCTCTTGGGGTATGTCTCTATAAGCTTGGCACATCTAGCCACTGGGATTTTAGCCCATTCTTCAAGGCAAAACTGCTCCAGCTCCTTCAAGTTGGATGGGTTCCGCTGGTGTACAGCAATCTTTAAGTCATACCACAGATTCCTAATTGGATTGAGGTCTGGGCTTTGACTAGGCCATTCCAAGACATTTAAATGTTTCCCCTTAAACCACTCGAGTGTTGCTTTAGCAGTAGGCTTAGGGTCACTGTCCTTCTGGAAGGTGAACCTCCGTCCCAGTTTCAAATCTCTGGAATTTCCCTGTATTTAGCGCCATCCATCATTCCTTCAATTCTGACCAGTTTCCCAGTCCCTGCCGATGAAAAACATCCCCACAGCATGATGCTGCCACCACCATGCTTCACTGTGGGGGTGGTGTTCTCTGGGTGATGAGAGGTGTTGGGTTTGCGCCAGACATAGAATTTTCCTTGATGGCCAAAAAGCCCAATTTTAGTCTCATCTGACCAGAGTACATTCTTCCATATGTTTGGGGAGTCTCCCACATGCCTTTTGGCAAACACCAAACATGTTTGCTTATTTTTTTCTTTAAGCAATGGCTTTTTTCTGGCCATTCTTCCATAAAGCCCAACTCTGTGGAGTGTACGGCTTAAAGTGGTCCTATGGACAGATGTTCCAATCGCCGCTGTGGAGCTTTGCAGCTCCTTTCGGGTTATCTTTGGTCTCTTTGTTGCCTCTCTGATTAATGCCCTCCTTGCCTGGTCCGTGAGTTTTGGTGTGCAGCCCTCTCTTGGCAGGTTTGTTGTGGTGCCATATTCTTTCCATTTTTTAATAATGGATTTAATGGTGCTCCGTGGGATGTTCAAAGTTTCGGATACTTAACCCAACCCTGATCTGTACTTCTCCACAACTTTGTCCCTTACCTGTTTGGAGAGCTCCTTGGTCTTCATGGTGCCGCTTGCTTGGTGGTGCCTCTTGCTTAGTGGTGTTGCAGACTCTGGGGCCTTTCAGAACAGGTGTATATATACTGAGATCATGTGACACTTAGATTGCACACAGGTGGACTTTATTTAACTAATTATGTGACTTCTGAAGGTAATTGGTTGCACCAGATCTTATTTAGGGGCTTCATAGCAAAGGGGGTGAATACATATGCACGCACCACTTTTCTGTTATTTATTTTTTAGAATCTTTTGAAACAAGTAATTTTTTTCATTTCACTTCACCAATTTGGACTATTTTGTGTATGACCATTACATAAAATCCCAATAAAAATCCATTTAAATAACAGGTTGTAATGCAACAAAATAGGAAAAACGCCAAGGGGGATGAATATTTTTGCAAGGCACTGTATGCACCTCGGAATTGGATAAGGACGCGCGCATGTGTCTATCTTCACTTGTAGCCTATGAGAAAGACCCGATCACGTGAAGGAGAGCCATGTGAGTGAGAGGCACACTCAGAGAGAAGGACACAACGCAGCACTCCGGGCCGCAAAAGGCATGGATGTTTTTAGGGTGCATTACGGCCACAAAGGGGATGCCGCCGTGAAATTCGAGGCATTATCAAGTGCTTGTCAAATTGTGAATGAGAGACTATTGGAGTGTGTACAGCCTGTGCAAAAAAAAACTAAGCAGAGCTCATGCCTTTCAAGCGACTTTTTCATCATGCAGCCTTACAATGTATTAAAAATCAAAACAATAATAACTCTAAATTAAGCATATAGGAATACCTATTTATTTGTTAACCACTCAACTCAGAATAGCCGCATGTGCGCACTCCCTCAAATCGATTGGAGAAAATATTTATATTTTATTCAGCTTTGTTCAATTGTATTCTTCATACTATAAAATAATATCAAATAATGCCACGGAATTATAAGCAAATCTTGTCTTCTAAATGAACTAGTGTAGCCCACAGCCATTTGGCATAGCCACATCAGGACCTAACATAAGGACAACTCAGAGTATGCTATTATTTTCTTCTGAAATAGACTACATTTTCTTCATATCATGCTTCTTTAGACCTGTCTAAAATAAATAATGGATTTATTGTGAAGGTGTATGCTATATTACATGGATTTATTAGACTTTTTTAAATGTCTTGTAGGCTATGTGTGGAAGCCAGGAGATGCTAAGTGTGTTTATGTTAATTAACGGTAAATTACCGTGAGACCGACAATTATTTGCTTTACAATCACCGGCTGACGAAAGTTCGTGACCGCCACAGCCATAGTTGGGGGTCATGTTGAATCACTTGGACCAAATGGACCAGCTCCAAACAGGATTTGTCATAAGAGGCCTGTCTGTCTGGGACCCTGAAAACTGCACATGGTGCTCAAGTTTCACTCCTCTCTTTTCTCCTCACTCCTTTTCTCTCTCTCTCTTTCTATCTCAGCCCCCAGATGGAGGGTTTAGTCATCAAAGCTGAGACTTTGATGACTGTGTGTGTGTGTGTGTGTGTGTGTGTGTGTTGTAGTAGTAGCAGTAGTAAAGGGTGATTCTGGCACGTCTGGTGTCCTTTATGACTCAGGGGAGAGCTGTAAGGGCGGACAGACACAGAGCAGCCATTTATACCAGTATGGGAAACACACACACACCTCATTCTGGCAATGATAGTGAAACTGTAACAGATTCCGCTGGCTGGAGAAACCATATGGCTACACATAGACCACAGAGAGGGGAGGGATGGAGGGAGCGAGGGAGGGAGGGAGGGAGGGAGCGAGGGAGGGAGGGATAGAGGGACGGGCTACTCTGAATACAACATTACAGATTAGCCTGAGCACAGCTTTGGTAGTGCAGTGGGATCACCACTAGTTGAGCTGTAGTAATGTTCCAGTAGTGTTGTAATAGTGTTAGTACAACATTACTCACTAGTTAAGGAAGGCAAACAGGTATCTCATGATGATGAGAGTGTTGCTGGGCAGAGACATCAGAACCTTCCTGATGTGGACAGCCCTCTCCTGCAGGTTCTCCATAGCTGAAACAGAACACACACAAAGGGTGAACACATACAAACACACACGTTGCACACACGCACACACTCACCACTGGACAGTGGACAGTGGTCTTTTTGTAGGGTATGATAATGGAAAAGGAGTGGCGCTGGCGGAGACTCACAGACACAGGATATGAGGTCATGGAAGACTTCCTTGGGGAAGAGGGCGTGGTCCAGGCCTCTGAAGTAGAGCTTTAGAACGCCAGCGATGGAGTCCATGTCATGATCATTCTGATCCCCCGCCAACGGGTCCTCACCTGGAGACAGAGGATGAAGGGAGGATGAACGAGAGGGAAATAAAGAGAGAGAGAAAGAGATGTGTTGGGGTGAGAAAGAGGGGAAAGGAAAGACATTTGGGTGGGTTAAAGAAGGAGTATTGTGAGATAAGCAGGTCCTACTGTTTATGCTATGGCTGGAGCTGGGCTTTCTGGGTAGTGTAGTCTTACCTCTCTCAAAGGCGTTCTTGATGTCGTTGACCTCCACCTGAGAGCCAGACACTCTGAAGATGCCCTCATGGTGCAGACCTTCAGAGAGAGAGAGAGAGAGAGAGAGAGAGAGAGAGAGAGAGAGAGAGAGAGAGAGAGAGAGAGAGAGAGAGAGAGAGAGAGAGAGAGAGAGAGAGAGAGTTAAATTCTACAACCACCTAAAAGGAAGCGATTCCCAAACCTTCCATAACAATGCCATCACCTGCAGAGAGACAAACCTGGAGAAGAGCCCCCTAAGCAAGCTGGTCCTGGTGCTCTGTTCACAAACAAACTCCACAGAGCCCCAGGGCAGCAACACAATTAGACCCAACCAAATCATGAGAAAACAAAAAGATAATTACTTGACACATTGGAAAGAATTAACAAAAAAACGGAGCAAACTAGAATGCTATTTGGCCCTAAACAGAGAGTATAGAGTGGCAGAATACCTGACAACTGTGACTGACCCAAAATTAAGGAAAGCTTTGACTATGTACAGACTCAGTGAGCATAGCCTTGCTATTGAGAGACGCCGCCATAGGCAGAACTGGCTCTCAAGAGAAGACAGGCTATGTGCACACTGCCCACAAAATGAGGTGGAAACTGAGCTGCACTTCCTAACCTCCTGCCAAATGTATGACCATATTAGAGACACATATTTCCCTCAGATTACACAGACCCACAAAGAATTTGAAAACAAATCCAATTTTGATAAACTCCCATATCTATTGGGTGAAATACCACAGTGTGCCATCACAGCAGCAAGATTTGTGACCAGTTGCCACAAGAAAAGGACAACCAGTGAAGAACAAACACCAATGTAAATACAACCCATATTTATGTTTATTTATTTTCCCTTTTGTACTTTAACTATTGCACACTCACTAGACATAATATGACATTTGAAATGTCTCTATTCCTTTGGAACTTTTGTGAGCGTAATGTTTACTGTTCATTTCTTATTGTTTATTATCTATTTCACTTGCTTTGGCAATGTAAACATATGTTTCCCATGCCAATAAATCCATTGAATTGAATTGAAAGCGAGAGACAGAGAGAGGGAGAGAGAGAGAGAGAGCGATGTTACTGATCTTCTAGACAACAGACAGCCGACACAGGCTATTTATTATTCTGTTGTATTTGAATTATTTATATTGCAATGTCACAATACTTAAGGTTATTCTATTTTTTTATTTTTTTTATTTTGCCCCTGCAAAGCCAACAACAAAACACCCATCCACACAGGCAGAGACAGAGCCAGACATTGGCACAGTCAACAGAGACACAGCCAGTCATTGACCTATTCAACAGAGACCCAGCCAATGAGAGCACAGAGCAGGGCATCCTCACCATGGCGACTGATGAAGCGGATACAGCTCTCCACCATCAGAGGGATGACCTGGCCAGCCTCCTGAGAGAGAGGAGGAGAGGAGGATTAGAGGAGGAGAGAATATGCCGTGCAGGTAACCAGGAGAGGGAGGAGAGGAAAGGGGGATGGAGAGTGAAAAGAGAATTCCCTGACCATTTCCCTCTGTCGGAGAGAGGGGAGGAGGGGAGAGAGGGGAGGAGGGGAGAGAGGGATGGAGGGGAGAGAGGGATGGAGGGAGAGCAGTAGAATAACAGTAACCAGTGTTGAGACTGAGAGTCCAGACAGGGAGAATATGACTTACACACGGATACAAGAATCACATATGCAATCAGGCACACAGCACATACAAAAGGAGTCACACATGCTTGAACGCACACACACTCACACACACACACATCGATGAGGAAGAGGTTTCATAGCGGAGAGGGAAGCGCGGGAATACAGAAGCCAGCTGTTGCTAGGAGTTAGCTTTTTCCCAATCCCTTTGTTTGGGTTTTCCACAGATCACTATCTGATGAGGGCAGGGAATCTGTGGAACATTCTGCATGTGTGCGTATTTGTGTGTTACATGTCTGTGTGTATCAGTGTGGTTGTATGCTGTTCAGAAGCTGCCTGCTGTTTCACTGATCTCTGGGGGGGGGGTGTTGACAGTGGAGGATCACAGCAGAAGGCTCCCACTAGGGGGAGCTAGCTACACTCACTGGATGTTATAATAGAAATGGAATCTATCTCTTCTTATACGGTCCTTGCAATCTTGGATCCTTCGGATGTCCCTAGTTGAAATGTACAATGATTCAGGTAAGGTGTAAGGTTAGGGTAGGGGTTAAAGGTAGGGTTAGGGTTTAGGTTAGGGACGTCCCAAGGACCCCAGATAGCACTGACCCTTCTAATACAGTACAGTTTACCTGCAGAACTGTTTCAGATGGTGCAGTCTGTAAACCTAGCAAGAGATTGGCATGGGGCTGGTGCATAATATGCAGAGCAGTGGACAGTGAGTCCAGGACAAAGGTAAAACCACATACACAGAGAGAGAAACGTACACACATGAAACCACACTCTGAACGGAGAGAGAAAATTACCTGCTTCCGTAGTGCAGAGTTCCTCCTGTCACTGGAGAGAAAGAGAGGGAAAGAGAGAGAACACTGTTCTATCACTACGCCTCCAGAGATACTATTTATACACAACTCTGGAAATGATCTACACTCCCTAATGTATTTATTTGGACAATGTAGCTAAAATGTGTAACTTGGGGGGGGTATGATCTTTGTCCTCTGTAACTTATTGTAAATAAGAATAAAATGTTTATGAACACTTCTACATTAATGTGGATGCTACCATGATTACGGATAATCATGAATTAATCCTGAATAATGATGAGTGAGAAAAAGTGACCCCAAAATGACAAAAATACATGATTTACCATTAATTTCTATTGGGTACAACATACAGTACAGTGCCTTCAGAAAGTATTCATACCCCTTGACTATTTTCACATTTTGTTGTGTTACAAGGTTTAAATGGATTTCATTGTAATTCTTTGTCAACGATCTACACAAAATACTACCTAATATCAAAGTGGATGACCATTAAAACATTTTTTATATATACACTAACGTTAAAAAGTTTGGGGTCACTTAGAAATGTCCTTGTTTTCGAAAGAAAGGCAATTTTTTTGTCCATTAAAATAACATCAAATTGATCAGAAATACAGTGTAGACATTGTTAATGTTGTAAATGGCTATTGTAGCTGGAAACTGATGATTTTTAATGGAATATCTACATAGGCGTACAGAGGCTCATTATCAGCAACCATCAATCCTGTGTTCCAATGGCACTAATCCAAGTTTATCATTTTAAAAGGCTAATTGATCATTAGAAAACCAGAATAGAAAGAGGAGTGGGAGGCCCCGGTGCACAACTGAGCAAGAGGACAAATACATTAGAGTGTATGGTTTGAGAAACAGATGCCTCACAGGTCCTCAACTGGCAACTTCATTAAATAGTACCCGCCAAAACACCAGTCTCAACGTCAACAGTGAAGAGGCGACTCCGGGATGCTGACCTTCTAGGCAGAGTTGCAAAGAAAAAGCCATATCTCAGACTGGCCAATAAAAAGAAAAGATTAAGATGGGCAAAAGAACACAGACACTGGACAGAGGAAGATTGGATAAAAGTGTTATGGACAGACGAATCGAAGTTTGAGGTGTTCGGATCACAAAGAATAACATTTGTGAGACGCAGACCAAATGAAGAGATGCTGGAGGAGTGCTTGATGCCATCTGTCACGCATGGTGGAGGCAATGTGATGGTCTGGGGGTGCTTTGGTGGTGGTAAAGTGGGAGATTTGTACAAGGTAAAGGGGATCTTGAAGAAGGAAGGCTATCACTCCATTTTGCAACGGCATGCCATACCCTGTGGATGGCGCTTGATTGGAGCCAATTTCCTCCTACAACAGGACCATGACCCAAAGCACAGCTCCAAACTCTGCAATAACTATTTAGGGAAGAAGCAGTCAGCTGGTATTCTGTCTATAATGGAGTGGCCAGCACAGTCACCGGATCTCAACCCTATTGAGCTGTTGTGGGAGCAGTTTGACCATATGGTACGTAAGAAGTGCCCATCAAGCCAATCCAACTTGTGGGAGGTGCTTCAGGAAGCATGGGGTGAAATCTCTTCAGATTACCTCAACAAATTGACAACTAGAATGCCAAAGGTCTGCAAGGCTGTAATTGCAAATTGACGAAAGCAAAGTTTGAAGGACACAATTATTATTTCCATTAAAAATCATTATTTCTAACCTTGTCAATGACTACATTTCCTATGCATTTTGCTATATTTCCTATTCAAACTCATTTCATGTATGTTTTCTTGGAAAACAAGGAAATGTCTAAGTGACCCCAAACTTTTGAACGGTAGTGTATATATATACAGTGAGGGGAAAAAGTATTTGATCCCCTGCTGATTTTGTACGTTTGCCCACTGACAAAGAAATTATCAGTCTGTAATTTTAATGGTAGGTTTATTTGAACAGTGAGAGACAGAATAACGACAAAAAAATCCAGAAAAAGGCATGTCAAAAATGTTATAAATTGATTTGCATTTTAATGAGGGAAATAAGTATTTGACCCCTCTGCAAAACATGACTTAGTACTTGGTGGCAAAACCCTTGTTGGCAATCACAGAGGTCAGACGTTTCTTGTAGTTGGCCACCAGGTTTGCACGTATCTCAGGAGGGATTTTGTCCCACTCCTCTTTGCAGATCTTCTCCAAGTCATTAAGGTTTCGAGGCTGACGTTTGGCAACTCGAACCTTCAGCTCCCTCCACAGACTTTCTATGGGATTAAGGTCTGGAGACTGGCTAGGCCACTCCAGGACCTTAATGCGCCTCTTCTTGAGCCACTACTTTGATGCCTTGGCCGTGTGTTTTGGGTCATTGTCATGCTGGAATACCCATCCATGACCCATTTTCAATGCCCTGGCTGAGGTACATAGCCCCGTACATCGTCCATTTGATGCGGTGAAGTTGTCCTGTCCCCTTAGCAGAAAAACACCCCCAAAGCATAATGTTTCCACCTCCATGTTTGACGGTGGGGATGGTGTTCTTGGGGTCATAGGCAGCATTCCTCCTCCTCCAAACACGGCGAGTTGAGTTGATGCCAAAGAGCTCCATTTTGGTCTCATCTGACCACAACACTTTCACACAGTTCTCCTCTGAATCATTCAGATGTTCATTGGCAAACTTCAGACGGGCATGTATATGTGCTTTCTTGAGCAGGGGGACATTGCGGGTGTTGCAGGATTTCAGTCCTTCACGGCGTAGTGTGTTACCAATTGTTTTCTTGGTGACTATGGTCCCAGCTGCGTAGTGTGTTACCAATTGTTTTCTTGGTGACTATGGTCCCAGCTGCCTTGAGATCATTGACAAGATCCTCCCGTGTACTTCTGGGCTGATTCCTCACCGTTCTCATGATCATTGCAACTCCACGAGGTGAGCTTTAACTTCCTGACTGATGTCTTGAGATGTTGCTTCAATATATCCACATCATTTTCCTTCCTTCATGATGCCATCTATTTTGTGAAGTGCACCAGTCCCTCCTGCAGCAAAGCACCCCCACAGCATGATGCTGCCACCCCCGTGCTTCACGGTTGGGATGGTGTTCTTCGGCTTGCAGGCCACCCCCTTTATCCTCCAAACATAACGATGGTCATTATGGCCAAACAGTTCTATTTTTGTTTCATCAGACCAGAGGACATTTCTCCAAAAAGTACGATCTTTGTCCCCATGTGCAGTTGCAAACCGTAGTCTGGCTTTTTTATGGCGGTTTTGGAGCAATGGCTTCTTCCGTGCTGAGCGGCCTTTCAGGTTATGTCGATATAGGACTCGTTTTACTGTGGATATAGATACTTTTGTACCTGTTTCCTCCAGCATCTTTACAAGGTCCTTTGCTGTTGTTCTAGGATTGATTTGCACTTTTCGCACCAAAGTACGTTCATCGCTAGGAGACAGAACGCATCTTCGTCCTGAGCGGTATGACGGCTGTGTGGTCCCATGGTGTTTATACTTGCGTACTATTGTTTGTACAGATGAACGTGGTACCTGTACACGTTTTAATGACTCCAACCTAAGTGTATGTAAACTTCCGACTTCAACTGTAAGTATTCAACCACCTGAGTCAATACATGTTAGAATCACCTTTGGAAGCGATTGTAGCTGTGAGTCTTTCTAGGTAAGTCTCTAAGAGCCATCCACACCTGGATTGTGCAACATTTGTTAAATCAAAACTGTTAACTCAGCCACTTAGGAGCATTCACTGTCTTCTTGGTAAGCAACTCCAGTGTAGATTTGGCCTTGTGTTTTAGGTTATTGTCCTGCTGAAAGGTGACTTCATCTTCCAGTGTCTGGTGGAAAGCAGACTGAACCAGGTTTTCCTCTAAGATTTTGCCTGTGCTTAGCTCCATTCCGTTAATTTTTTATCCTGAAAAACTCCCCAGTCCTTAACAATTACAAGCATACCCATAACATGATGCAGCCACTGCTATGCGTGAAAATATGGAGAGTGGTACTCAGTAATGTGTTGCATTGGATTTGCCCCAAACATAACACTTCAGGACAAAAAGTGAAAAAGCTTTGCCACATATTTTGTCGTATTACTTGGGTGTCTTGTTGCAAACAGGATGCATGTTTTGGAATAGTTTATTTTGGACAGGCTTCCTTCCTTTCACTCTGTCAATTAGGTTAGTATTGTGGAGTAACTACAATGTTGTTGATCCATCCTCAGTTTTCTCCTATCACATCTACTAAACTCCATTACTGATTTAAAGTCACCATGGGGCTCATGGTGAAATCCCTGAGCAGTTTCCTTCCTCTCCGGCAACTGAGTTAGGAAGGACGCCTGTATCTTTGTAGTGACTGGGTGTATTGATATACCATCTAAAGTGTAATTAATAACTTCACCATGCTCAACGGGATATTCAATATATATATATTTTGTTTACCCATCTACCAATAGGTGCCCTTCTTTGCAAGGCATTGTAAAACCTCCCTGGTCTTTGTGGTTGAATCTGTGTTTGAAATTCACTGCTCGACTGAGAGACCTTACAGATAATTGTGTGTGTCGGGTACAGAGATGAGGTAGTCATTCAAAAATCATGTTTAGTACTATTATTGCACACAGAGTGAGTTCATGTTATGTGAATTGTTAAGCACATTTTTACTCCTGAACTTGTTTAGGCTTGCCATAAGCTTTTCATTTTTTATTAACTTGTTAAAAAAATTATAAAACACAACTACTTTGACATTATGGGGTATTGTGTGTAGGCCAGTGACAAAAAAATCTCTATTTAATCCATTTTAAAATTAGGCTGTAACACAACAAATTGTGGAAAAAGTAAAGGGGTGTGAATACTTTTTGAAGGCACTGTAATCCGAAACACAACCAAAACAAACTGCCAATGCATTCAACAAGTTTGTAGAGTCACAATCTCGATGTAGTCATTGCGTGCTAGGAACATGGGACCAAAAACTAAACTCTTGACTACTTTAATACACTATAAGTGAATTTGTCCACATACTTGTGACACCTTCAAATGGGGGGACTAGATACATGAAGTGCTTTCATTTCTAAACGGTAAAACAGAAAAATACCCTCAACTAAAAGGTGACATTCTGTACTGTTGCCTCATTTTTTTATATTTTAATTCAAATCCAAAATGCTGGAGTATAGATTAAACGTTTTAGCTTCACTGTCCAAATAAATACGTAAGGGCCTTGCAAAAGTATTCAACCCCCTTGGCGTTTTTCCTATTTTGTAGCATTACAACCTGTAATTTAAATGGGTTATTTTTTGGATTTCATGTAATGGACATACACAAAATAGTCCAAATTGGTGAAGTGAAATAAAAAAATTCTAAAAAATAAATAACGGAAAAGTGGTGCGTGCATATGTTTTCACCCCCTTTGCTTTGCCCCTAAATAAGATCTGGTGCAACCAATTACCTTCGGAAGTCACATAATTAGTTAAATAAAGTCCACCTGTGTGCAATCTAAGTGTCACATGATCTGTCACATGATCTCAGTATATATACACCTGTTCTGAAATGCCACAGAGTCTGCAACACAACTAAGCAAGGGGCACCACGAAGCAAGCAGCACCATGAAGACAAAGGAGCTCTCCAAACAGGTCAGGGACAAAGTTGTGGAGAAGTACAGATCAAGGTTGGGTTATAAAAACTTTGAACATTTCACGGAGAACCATTCAATCCATTATTATAAAATGGAAAGAATATGGTACCACAACAAACCTGCCAAGAGAGGGCCGCCCACCAAAACTCACGGACCAGGCAAGGAGGGCATTAATCAGAGAGGCAACAAAGAGACCAAAGATAACCCTGAAGGAGCTGCAAAGCTCCACAGCGGAGATTGGAGTATTTGTCCATAGGACCACTTTAAGCCGTACACTCCACAGAGCTGGGCTTTACGAAAGAGTGGCCAGAAAAAAGCCATTGCTTAAAGAAAAAAATAAGTGAACACGTTTGGTTCACCAAAAGGCATGTGGGAGACTCCCCAAACATATTGAAGAAGGTACTCTGGTCAGATGAGACTAAAATTGAGCTTTTTGTCCATTAAGGAAAACGCTTTGTCTGGCGCAAACCAAACACCTCTCATCACCCCGAGAACACCATCCCCACAGTGAAGCATGGTGGTGGCAGCACTGGGAAACTGGTCAGAATTGAAGGAATGATGGATGGCACTAAATACAGGGAAAGTCTTGAGGGAAACCTGTTTCAGTCTTCCAGAGATTTGAGACTGGGACGGAGGTTCACCTTCCAACAGGACAATGACCCTAAGCATACTGCTAAAGAAACACTTGAGTGGTTTAAGGGGAAACATTTAAATGTCTTGGAATGGCCTAGTCAAAGCCCAGACCTCAATCCAATTGAGAATATGTGGTATGACTTAAAGATTGCTGTACACCAGCAGAACCCATCCAACTTGAAGGAGCTGGAGCAGTTTTGCCTTGAAGAATGGGCAAAAATCCCAGTGGCTAGATGTGCCAAGCTTATATAGACATACCCCAAGAGACTTGCAGCTGTAATTGCTGCAAAAGGTGGCTCTACAAAGTATTGACTTTGGGGGGGTGAATAGTTATGCACGCTCAAGTTTTCTGTTTTTTTGTCTTATTTCTTGTTTGTTTCACACAAAAAAAGATTTTGCATCTTCAATGTGGTAGGCATGTTGTGTAAATCAAATGATACAACCTCCCCAAAAATCCATTTTAATTCCAGGTTGTAAGGCAACAAAATAGGAAAAATGCCAAGGGGGGTGAATACTTTCGCAAGCCACTGTATGTGTTAGCAGTTGATGTTATTCTTCAATAACACAGACCCCAAAGCAAATCAGGGGGAGAAAAAATATTTATTCAAAGAGAACAAATCATAGTTGTTTTGCTGGGAAGTAGATGGTAGATGTTCATTCTTCCCTGTTCTCAATGTTTCTCCACTGAACAAAGAGACAGGATGCAGTTTATAGCCTCAAGCCTAGCATGTGGCTGACCAATTAGAATTCCTTGCAATAAAATTGGGCCAATAGCCAACCCCCCAAGTATCCTGTTTTAGGCTCAATGTATCTATTCTAAACAGATGTTGAACTGAAAAACAACTATTTCCATTGATCGTTAATTCCCTCTTGACCTCTAGTCCTCTTGACCACTAGTCCTTTGCGTTGTATATTTATCTTCGAATATTCTTACATTTGTGAACTCACACATACACACACACAAAGACACACACAATTTCCGCTAACAGAATAATGAGTATGTGCCCATAAACACGCCCTTGTAGACAGTCAAATAGACCATAGAGCCTACTATAGAACCTCCCAATGGTAAGTGTGTGTATGTGTTTCCTTCCTTCACCTACCTGGCAAGGCAACAGTCAGTCTTCTGACCTAAAGCAGGGAAGACACAGGAAGAGGGGGAGGGGAGAAAGAGAGAGAAAAAAATATTAAGTTATAGCAGAAGCAAGAGGAAGAGAAGAGGGAAATGGCCGCAGCTGGATACAAACTGTGACAGACTTCCCCTGGAATACACACACGCTAACACACACACACATGCTAACACACACACACGCTAAAACACACACACACAAACACACGCTAATACACACACAGTCTCAATGGTTTTCCTGTCGGAGCCATACCTCCTGCTAAACACATCCCAGAGGATCTCCCCCCCAATCCACAGCTGTGCTCTCCCCCCTCCGTCCCTCCCTCCCTCCCTCCCTCCCACATCCTATCCCCCCCTGCCCCATCCTGCTCCCCAGTGTGGCCCTTCGTGTGGCCTAACACGCGTCTGCTCTCTGTGGCCTGCTCTGGCCTCCTTCACCCCCCGTCCTCCAATCCCTGCTCTGCTCTGCTCTCTCACACACACAAATGTCTCTCTAACACGCTGTTGGAAACGTGTTCAAACTATTTGTCCTAGCAGTGACATGCTCAGTTAAAAACATCCAGTTGATGCAATCTGTGACTGTGTGTGTGTGACTCACTCTCTCCCAGAGTCTTCTGTATCAGGTCATGTTTGGCCTCCAGTTTGGTAATCAGGTTCCGCCCCTCCAGAAACTCCTTCAGTTTCTACAGTACAGAGAGAGAGAGAGAGAGAGAGAGAGAGAGAGAGAGAGAGAGAGAGAGAGAGAGAGAGAGAGAGAGAGAGAGAGAGAGAGAGAGAGAGAGAGAGAGAGAGAGAGAGAGAGAGAGAGAGAGAGAGAGAGCGCGCGCACGAGGGGGGGACGTTAGTAACTGTGCACAGATTTGAGTGTGTATCATCACTGACCCCTCCTTAGGCAGCGCATGTGAATGTGTGTATCACCACAACAAGACCTCACTGACTCTTCCTGTATCACCATAACACACCACTGTCCTCAACACGACACATCTCTGCCCTGTGATTGGTTCTCACCGTGAAGTAGAACTGCTCCGTCTCCTGCTGATTGGCCCGTCTCTTGGCCAGGCTGGGTTTGCTGAGGAATGATTCGCTCATGGTGGACTTGACCGACTCCATGGAGTTGCTGTGGTGGAAACACTCGCTGACGTCATAGTCCTCCACGGTGACCATGTCCTGGATGGTCGACAGAGTGGCCTCCATAGTCTTCTTCACCTAGAGAGAGGGAGAGAAAGGAGGGGGGAGGGGGAGAGGGGAGCGAGAGAGAGAGAGAGAGATAGTGTCATAAATTCTGTCAACAGATGTGGGTGAAATCAATTGTTTACATTTGAGTCATTAAGCAGACGCTCTTATCCAGAGCGACTTACAGTTAGTGTATCCATCTTAAGATAGCTAGATGAGACAAGCACATATCTCAGTCATAGTAAGTACATTAATCCTCAATAAAAGTAGCTATCAGCAAAGTCAGAGCTGGCAAGAGAAGTGTGAGTGTTCGTGTAGACAAGGCAAGGTTATTTTTATTTCTTATTTTCTTATTTTTCTATTAAAAATTAATAAAACATCTTGTTTCTCTTCAAAATGTGGGTGAAAATGGTGTGAGTGGGAAGACAAATCAAAACTGTCATAATGAACAGAAAAGGCTATGGAAAGATGAGGTGAGGGATGGGGGAGGAGGAGGTGAAATTATGGAGTAATGAAGTGAGAGATGGGGGGATGAAGGGGTAAAATGATGGAGTAATGAAGTGAGAGATGGGGGGATGAAGGGGTAAAATTATGGAGTGATGAGCCGGAGGAGTGCAGGTTTCACCTCCTCATTCTCGATGGTGAGGGTGGAGAGACGGGACTGCAGCTGCTGACACCTCTGGAGTAACTCCCCTTCTAACGGCTGCTGGGCACATACTACCCCCATCTAGAGAGAGAGAGAGAGAGACACAGAGAGAGAGAGAGAGAGAGAGAGAGAGAGAGAGAATGAGAAAGACACACACAATTAGTTTACAGCTGAGATCCACAAGCTGGTCGCCCCAGGCGCATTCATGGTAAAAAAAAAAAATCATAGTACATACTCCGCTGTTCTATCGCATGTGCAATGATGTCAGAGGGAAAAAAAAATCTGTGTTGTTTGAAGTAACATCTTTGTTGATGTAATATTACAAACGGACGTGGCAGATCCACCGCTACAGATTCCGGATTTAAACTCAAACACTTACTAATCCCTCCACCCCCACCCAACCAGCCCAAACCCCCCACAGCACGTATCACCCCCCACCACATTCCCGTACCGTGTCTCCCATGTGTGACTGGAAGTCGAAGCGCATGGGGGGACAGAAGACGTTATTGTAGGTCTCCATCAGTCTCTGCTTGTCCCCATTGGGCTCCAGGCTCTCTACTGCCCCCTCCAGGCCCTCCAGACCAGTGTGTTTAGACGCCTCCACGTTCATCTCCGCTGACAGGTAGGTCCGCAACGCACGGTGGAGACTGGCATGGTAGCCCAGGTCACAGCACTGACAGAGGGAGGTGGGGGGGCGAGAGAAAGAGAGAGAGAGAGAGAGAGAGAGAGAGAGAGAGAGAGAGAGAGAGAGAGAGAGAGAGAGAGAGAGAGAGAGAGAGAGAGAGAGAGAGAGAGAGAGAGAGAGAGAGAGAGAGAGAGAGAGAGAGAGAGAGAGAGAATGTTTAATTGAGCAGAGAGATAGCTTAGAAAGTCATGGTTAAAATCAAAGCAATATGTCTTTGGTAATGAGATATTCCCGTGGACGTCCAATTAACAATGCTGCATGCTACACCATCATTCATGAATGTGAGGGTATCCTACATGCTAACCCATCAGTCAGAATGAGTGAGGTCATGCTACATGCTAACCCATCAGTCAGAGTGAAGGAGCAGTAGAACTACTTGTTTACCAATCATCATCATTCCTGTTCATATAGCCACAGGCTAACCCACAGGTTCTCAGTCTCTAGTGGGGGACAGACGACAGTAATGAGACCAGAGGGTAGAGGAGAGGAGGAGAGGAGAGGGGAAGGGGGGAAAGAGAAGAGAAGGGGGAGCCCTGCCAGTGGTCCTCGTTAAGGGTCAGGGAAAAGAGGATGAGGGAGGAGGCTGTAGAGAGGGGAGCCCTGCCAGTGGGAAAGAAGGGATGAGGGGGAGGAGGAATGATAAGGGATGAGGGGAGAGCCCTGCTCTTCTCGTAGTAGGTCTGTTGAGGCTGTGAGGAAATGGCTACCTGCTGCAGGGAGAGGGGGAAGAGATGAAGGAGGGGGAGGATTGGGCTACAGACAGACAAAAGGTTGTGTGTTGTTTTGTGGTGTGTACTCACGTCTAAGATGTCAGACAGGTCGTGGATGTAGTATTTGAAGACACAGCTGTTGGTGGCCTCCAGAGCCAGCAGGTACTCATTCCTCGCCTTGATCGCTTTCAGCTTGTTCTCTGTGTACTTAGCCTGCCTCTGAGAGGGAGACAGAGAGAGAGAGAGAGAGAGAGAGAGAGAGAGAGAGAGAGAGAGAGAGAGAGAGAGAGAGAGAGAGAGAGAGAGAGAGATACAATGCATGCAGGGCAGAATTAGGCCAATATCCACTAATAATAAAAACTCAAAAAATAGCAATTAAGTTTTAAAATACAGTGACCCCCTCTCATATCATTACCAAGCCCTGCAATGCCAAGAGCTGAGCAAAGAAAAGAGTCCCTTCATCCAGCTGGTCCTGGGGCTGAGTTCACAAACTTGTTCTACTTTCTTTTTTTTCTTTTCTTTATTTGACCTTTATTTAACTAGGCAAGTCAGTTAAGAACAAATTCTTATTTACAATGACGGCCTACACCGGCGCTGCCCTATGGGAATCCCAATCACGGCCGGTTGTGATACAGCCTGGAATCGAACCAGGGGGTCTGTAGTGACGCCTCAAGCACTGAGATGCAGTGCCTTAGACCGCTGAAGCCTCAGGACCAGAACATCCAATCAATCAGAATAAACCAAATTACAACACAGTCAAAACAAAACTACATTGCTTATTGGGAAACACAAGCACAAAGTAAAATGCAGTGCTATCTGGCCCTAAATCGACAGTACACCGTGGCTAACTATTTGACCATGGTTACTGATCAAAACCTTAGAAAAACCTTGACAAAGTACAGGCTCAGTGAGCACAGCCTTGCCATTGAGAAGGGTAGACACAGGAAAACCTGGCTCCCAGAACCTGAGACAGAGCTGCATTTCCTGACAAAATGTCAAAAATATAAAACAATTAGAGAGTGTCATTTCCCCAAATTTGATACAATTTTTCAAGGTTTCAAAGACCTCTCTGATGAGAATAGGCTACCTATCCTGTTGGGGGAGGACGCAGAGAGCTGTGGGTTGGCAGCGCACTACATTGCTTCCTGCCATAAGATGAGGGACAGTGTCTGACAGACCAACCAACCTGCACATGTCCTCTATATTGTTATTTTTCAATGGTTATTTTGACCCTTGGTTATTGTTGTTACTGTTGTCCCGTTGACGATATTGATTATTATTATTTAAATTATGTTAATAGTGTAAATATCCAAAGTAAGCTTTGGCAATATGTACATTGTTACGTCATGCCAATAAAGCAAATTGAATTGAATTGAATTGAAATTGAGAGAGAGATAACAGGATTGAGAGAGAACATGGTCTATATTGGTTCTGGAGATGATAATGAGGGTCTTATCACTCTGACAGAGCCCAGCTGTAGTAAAGCATTAAGCCAGTTATACACTCATACATCCTTCATGAACAACACACACATGCAGGCATACACATGCATATACACACAGGCTGCATACACACACATACACACACTTACAGGCACACACACACTATAATGGGCTGTGTGAGCTGCATAATAATAATAATAATATGCCATTTAGCAGACGCTTTTATCCAAAGCGACTTACAGTCATGCGTGCATACATTTTTTGTGTTTGGGTGGTCCCAGGGATCGAACCCACTACCTTGGCGTTACAAGCGCCGTGCTCTACCAGCTGAGCTACAGAGGACCACGCATCATTGGTCAACATGTCAGTAGGGGTGTCAGGGTCTCATACTCAGACAGGGCTGCTCTCATATCCTTGACCCTGCACACACACACACAACACACACACACACACACACACACACACACACACACACACACACACACACACACACTCTCTCTTTACCTTCTCCTTCATCTTTTCTATCTTCTTGACCGAGGAGCGTCGGACATGTTTCTCCTCGGTCTTGACGCTGGCCAGTGTGTCAGGTGACCTGGGAGTCTGTCTGTCGTCCTGGCGACCAGAGCGCCCCATCTGCTTCTCTTCCTGTTTCTCTGCATCTTTCAGTTTGTTCTCAGAGCTGATACTGTCTGTGTTGTACATGTGATACGTCTTCATCACCTACATAGGGACAATATGTACATTGTTACGTCGTGCCAATAAAGCAAATTGAATTGAATTGACAAGCAGAGCAGTGTGCCATCACAGCAGCAAGTTGTGTGACCTATTGCAACAAGAAAAGGTCAACCAGTGAAGAACAAACACCATTGTAAATACAATCTACAGTGCTATGAAAAAGTATTTGCCCCCTTTCTAATTTTCTCTACTTTTGCATATTTGTGATACTGAATGTTATCAGATCTTCAACCAAAACCTAATATTAGATAAAGGGAACATAAGTGAACAAATAACACAACAATTACATTTTCATTTCATTTATTTCATAAACAAAGTTATGAAACACCCAATTCCCCTGTGTGAAAAAGTAATTGTCCCCTTACACTCAATAACTGGTTGTGCCACCTTTATCTGCAATGACTCCAACCAAATGCTTCCTGTAGTTGTTGATCAGTCTCTCACGTCGCTGTGGAGGAATTTTGGCCCACTCCTCCATGCAGAACTACTTTAACTCAGTGACGTGTGGGTTTTCAAGCATTAACTTCTCGTTTCAAGTCCTGCCACAACATCTCAACTGGGATTAGGTCTGGACTTTGACTAGGCCATTCCAAAACTTCCAATTTGTTGCTTTTTAGCAATTTTCATGTAGACTTGATTGTGTGTTTTGGATCATTGTCTTGCTGCATGACCCAGCTGCGCTTCAGCTTCAGCTCACAGACGGATGGTCTGACATTCTCCTGTAGAATTCTGATGTTCTTACTGTGGAATGCAGAGTTTTGTTTTCGCCAGGCATTACTGGAACCATGTCGTCCAAAAAGTGATACTTTTGAATGTCTGTCCATAGAACGTTCTTCCAAGAGTCTTGATGATCATCCAGGTGCTTTTTGGCAAACTTGAGTCAACTTTTTGGACGAGATGGGTCCCATTATGCCTGGCGAAAACCAAACACTGCATTCCACAGTAAGAACATCATACCAAAGGTCAAGCATGGTGGTGATGGTGTGATGGTTTGGGGATGCTTTGCTGCCTCAGGACCTGGACGACTTGCCTTAATAGAAGGAACCATGAATTCTGCTCTGTATCAGAGAATTCTACAGGAGAATGTCAGACCATCCGTCTGTGAGCTGAAGCTGAAGCGCAGCTGGGTCATGCAGCAAGACAATGATCCAAAACACACAATCAAGTCTACATGAAAATTGCTAAAAAGCAACAAATTGGAAGTTTTGGAATGGCCTAGTCAAAGTCCAGACCTAATCCCAGTTGAGATGTTGTGGCAGTACTTGAAACGAGCAGTTCATGCTTGAAAACCCACACGTCACTGAGTTAAAGCAGTTCTGCATGGAAGAGTGGGCCAAGATTCCTCCACAGCGACGTGAGAGACTGATCAACAACTACAGGAAGCATTTGGTTGGAGTCATTGCAGCTAAAGGTGGCACAACCAGTTATTGAGTGTAAGGGGGCAATTACTTTTTCACACAGGGGAATTGGGTGTTGCATAACTTTGTTTATTAAATAAATGAAATAAAAATGTAATTGTTGTGTTACTTGTTCACTTATGTTCCCTTTATCTAATATTAGGTTTTGGTTGAAGATCTGATAACATTCAGTATCACAAATATGCAAAAGTAGAGAAAATTAGAAAGGGGCCAAATACTTTTTCATAGCACTGTATATTTATCTGTTTATTTGTTTTCCCTTTTGTACATTGTTACAACACTGTACATGGCCAGAATATTTTGTGAGTTTAATATTCACTGTTCATTTCTGATGGTTTTTCACTTTTCTTTATCTATTTCACTTGCTTTGGCAATGTAAACATATGTTTCCATGCCAATTGAATTGAGAGAGAGAGAGAGAGAGTGTGTGTGTGTGTCTATGTGTGTCACACACATACACACACCCCTGAGAAGCATGGCTGGCAGGCAGGACAGTGGATTGTCAGGAATGAGGCCTAGCGTTCCCAAGAGGTGTGGAGCGCTGGCATCCCACAACACTGCCAGGGAATGCCCCACACACATGCATGTGCATACACACATACTCTCCCCTCTCTGTCCTCTGCTATGCTATATTATATGAAGATAAGGTCTCGGGTATCTCTCTGCTCTCTTCGCGCTATCATAGAGATATCTATCTCTCTCTCTCTCTCATCTCTCTCTCTCTCTCTCTCTCACTCTCTCTCTCCTCTCTCACACACACACACACACGAACACACACTTTCTTCCAGAGAATGCCACACACACCTGTGTCAGTGGGTGCAGTGTCAGCACTGACCACTTAAAGGGGAAACATGGGCGGACCCCATCATTTCATTTCCCTCTTTAAAATGTCAGACCGAGTCACGCTGCTGCTTCACAAGGGCTGGCCTGAGCTAGGTACTGCACAGAATCAATGATATTTATATTAGAAGGATAAGTTTAAGTGTTTGAGATTAGAGGTGATTTAGAGATCTGATCATCTGCACAGCACATGACACATTCTTTCTATCAGACTCCGTCAAGTACTGAGGCAGGCGTTAAGCCCAGTCCTCTCTTCCCACCTCGTATGTCTGAGAGGCAGGCTGAGTGTCGGTGTGTGTGTCGGCATGTGTCGGTGTGTGTATGTGCCAGGCTGACTCTATTTCTGTCTAGTGGAGTCTCTCACTGTAATTACACTATTAGTCTGCTGCTACTGGCCTGGACATGGTTAAATGGTTCCTTTGCTGCCTCCCTGCATTCTAACAGAGAACAACCTACTTCCCAGTAGGGAATCTCTCCCTGGTGTGTGAGGAGTCAGTCTTACCGTGTAGAGCTCATTTAGAACCTTCATCAGATCCTCCTGAAGCTGAACACCAACCTCCTTACTCTGCAGAGAGACACAGAGACACAAGAAGATTAAAGAGGCTGTCTATCCCCTGTAATTACAGACATACCCTTATCAATAACATTAACTGGTGGTGAGGAGGGCTGCCGGATCAGATGAATAATGGTGTGTGTGTGTTACCTGATGGATGTGGGGTTTGAGGCCTAGGCTCCATTATAAATTATGTGCGGGAGTGAATGAGGGGAAATACAGGGAAGGACAGTTGGGGGGGGGGGCCTTTGGAGAGAAGAGAAGGAATACAGGAGGGGACGGAGCGAGGGAAGAGGAGGGGAGAGGGAGGACAGGGAGTGATGAGGGTGCTACCAGGCTCCACACAGGATGCAGGTGACAAATGATTCTGTACAGAGAAAGCTCCATACCAGAGTCCTCCTCACTAGTGGGCTATGCTGGGAAACTGCCTGAGGGAAAATGTTATTTCTGCTCTCCTCTATGTGTGCTGGATGAAAAGCTTCTAATAATAATAATAATAATAATAATAATAGATTGCATTTATATAGTGCTTTCCCACCTACAGTAGGTGCTCACAGCGCTTTACATAGTAAGGGGGCAAACTCACCTCTTCACCACCAATGTGTAGCACCCACTTGGTTGATGCACGCCAACCATTTTGTGCCAGAACACTCACCACACATCAGATATCATGGTGGAGAGGAGAGGAGTGATATATGCCAATTGGGAATCCGGGGGATGATTAGGTGGCCTTGATTGAAAGGGGCCAGATTTGGAATTTGGCCAGGACACCAGAGTTAACACACCTACTCTTACGATAAGTGCCATGGGTTGTTTAAAGGCCCAGTGCTGTCAAAAACGTGATTTTCCTCTGTTTTAGGCCTATATATATTTCCACACTATGAGGTTGGAATAATACTGTGAAATTGTGAAAATTATGATAATGCCATTTTGGTGTAAGAACTGTTTGAAAAGAATGCCTGAAATGTCTGCCTGTTTTGGTGGGATGGAGTTTTGGCCAGCCTGGTGAAATCACCAGGCAGTAAATTAGCTAATAGACCAATAAGAAAGAGAGTTCCAAACCTCCCTGCCAATAACAGCTAATTTTCAGTTTTCCCCTCCCCACTCAGACCACTCCCAGAAAAGACCTAGCACAAATCTTGCTTGAGAAATTGATCTTTGCTAAGAAGCTATTTTTGTTTATTTTTGACCATTTTAATTTAAAACAATCACAGTAAGGTACTTAATTGTTACCCAGAAATGATTTGATAATGAGATTAAAAACAGCGGCATTGGACCTTTAATGACCAGAAAGAGTCGGGACACCTGTTTAATTTCTCATCCAAAAGACAGCACCCTACGCAGTGCAATGTCCCCTTCACTGCCCATTGGGATCTCCTAAGACCAGAGGCAAGAGTGCCCCCTACTGGCCCTCCAACACACTTCCAGCAGCATCTGGTCGCCCATCCAGGACCAAACCTGCTTAGCTTCAGAGGCAAACTAGCAGTGGGATGCAGGGTGATATGCTGCTGGCAATGATTCTGGGCTTGCTAGGTGAGAGAAATTAATTGAGTTCTAACTCTAAGCCTTCACTCCTGGTTATGAAATTGCAGCCGTTGGCAGGGTGTGTGTGAAGAAGTCCGAGGTGCAAATGAAGTGCCAATACAAGATCTGATACCAGCTACGGCATGAGAACGGCATGAGACCTGAATAGAGATGATGTCTAAAAGGCAGAGATCGTGAGTAAGAGAGAGAGAGAAAGAGACAGAGAAAGATCGAGAGGGAGGGAGAGACAATGACAAAGAGAGAGGGTGAAGGAGACAGGAAAAGAGAGAGAGAAACGGAATAACAGAGATTGTAAAAAAAAATCACAAACACACACATTCAGGGATTATCCTACAGACAAGAGGTGAGGGGTGAGGGGTCAGAGGTGAGGGGGAGACGGGGAAGAATAAAGGAGAAAGGTGAGGGATGAGGAGAGAATATGTATGAATGGAGTAGAGAATTCCAAGAGGGGTCATTTTGGATGAAAGGGGGAGAGATGGATGGAGGAAAGTTAGGGAAAGAGAGATTAGGGAGTGGGTAAAGGGAGGTGGAGAGCAGAGAAG